CGCTCCCGCCCGCCCGCAGGCTTATCGACTTTGTCCACCGTGGCCATCCCTCTCATTTCAGACCCCGTACACCTCCGGTCCCAAAGCGAATATAGCTGTTTGTGCACATCCAATATGCAAGCGCCCGTCTCAACTTTCTTGACAATGCGACTTGCACAGGACAACTCGATCATGGCCAACATCGACTACAAAGAGAAGGTCGGCTTCGTGCCGGCTGGCGACGGAGGCCGAGTCACAATCGTCCTCTCGTTTGCGTCGGAATCCCCTTCGCTCCTCGGAGCCGAGGTGCCTGTCTGTGCGCGCGTGTTCATCCTATCAGCGCGATCTTCCCGTCCCAACGCCGCCGTCCCAACGCCGCCGTCGTCCCTGGCCCACAGGCGTGCGGCGCCAAGAACGCCCTCGCGAAGGACGCCCCCGCAAAGTCTGGCGCGGAGGCCTCCGACGAGAGCATCCTCAAGAAAGACCTGGCCGCGGCAAAGGCGCCCGCCGCGGGCACAGTCGACTCGGACAAGGCCAAGGCCGTTTTCTCGATTAAGTTTACGCGCCCGACCGGCGCACCGACGGCCCCCACCGGCGCACCAGTCAAGGGCGCCCTCAACAAGGACATCCCTGCGGCAAAGTCTGCGGAGGTCTCCCTTGACGAGACTGGCGTCATCAAGAACGACCCGGCGCTCAAGCCGGCCACCAAGATCGCCACGGCCCTCAAGCCGGCGGCGGCCGGCGGCGCGCCGCTGCCGTCGATGAAGGAGTTTCCGGAGGAGGAGCCCGCCCCGGCGGCGAGCGCCTGGCATTCTGCGCGCCGGCGTCTGCCGACCCACTCTGTGACCCCATCCCGCGTTCGACGCGTAGGGCGACGCCGACTGGAACGTCTCGACCAAGGACCTTCCGGAGGAGACGGCCGCCCCGGCGGTGAGCACCTCCCAGCACCCTTCTGTGCACACGCGGCTATTGCGGGGACACGCGAGTCCTACAGGCGGGCACTTGCATTGACCCTGTGACGCGCGCAGGGTGTCGACGCGTGGAAGTCCCCCTCCCCGCTCCGCAAGATCGAGCGCAAGGGCGAGTCCACCCTGGTCGACCGCTCCAAGAAGACCACCAAGAACCGCACCCCGATCGGCCGCGTCGACCCCAACGGGTTCGCGGCGCTGCTCGGAACGGAGGTCGACGAGGAAGACCTCGCTGGCGTCGGCTCCGGCAACGCGTTCGACGACGAGGAAGACCCCGCTGGCGTCGGCTCCGGCAAGGCGTCTGTCGGCGACGCCCCGCCGTCGTCGGCGACGCCCTCGGCGCGTATCCGCGTATGCCTTGCTCGTGCAGCGCGCCCTGCTCGTGACTAACCCTCGTCCGGACTGTTCACAGGGCGCCGGGCAGGAGACGGAGCCGACCTCGACGCGCTCCAGCTTCCGCTTCGGCAAGTTCTGCTCGACCAAGCTGCTGTGCATCTTCTTCTCTGTGGTGATTGGCTTGGGCTGCTCGGCGTTTGCTCTGTCTTCCTACGGTTCTGCCGGCGTCTCCGAGCTCCTCGACGCGGTGTTCGTGCCCGACGCGGCCGCGATCCCGGTGAGCAATAGAACTGGAGCGCAATGGCTCCCAGCACGCCCTGACTCTCGGTCGCGTGCGCTCGTGTATCTCGCAGGTTCTCGACCTCCCCAACACCACGCCAAAGGACGAGTTCAACCCGACGGCGCTCCCGGCCGAGACTGAGCGCGGGCCGCTGTTTGCTCCGCTCACGCCGGCGCTCGAGCTTAGCGACTTCGTTGGGCTGGCACAGGATTGCAACCTCACCGACACGCTGCAGCTCATGCGCGGCGTCCAAACCGTGACGGAAGTCACCACCCGCATGGTCGTGGCGCCCATGAAGGTGCGGACCGAGTTTATGGCGTGCATCAACAGCAAATGGAGCATGTCCTACCAGGGTCCATGCACCGACAACCTTGAGGCGACCTCGCCTCGCCGCCGTTTGTTCATCAACTCCATCATCCAATGGGCTACAAGTCTGGTCCTGCCGTATGTTGTTGTTGGCACAAAGGCGCTCTTTGCAGAGGGCGATCTCCTCGAAGATTGCCGCGACGTAAAACGTCACGAGGAGGCCCACCTTCAGTGGCCGTACCGGCGTCTTCCCGACGGGTTCGACGACGCTCTTGCCTTCTCCTTGTGGAAGTACAGCAACGCTGCCTATCGATCGAGAAGCTGCAAGGCGCTGACTCTTTGCCACCAGCCTTTCAAATCGACTCTCGAAGAGGAGACCGGCATGACGTTCGAACGTCTGCAGGCGGTGGCCAACCAGCTTTCTCGAGTCGAAGGCTGGTCCAAACTAGTCGAGCGGGAAGATGTCGTCGACCCGAAGGATTGGTCCCAAAACATGAAGCGTGTGGCCGCCAGGCTGCAGCCTGACACCGACAATTTCAGGCAGTTTTACTACGAGCCGACTAACATCAAAGGCTACACCGTGCCGACGGCAGATGGCGGGCTGGTCGTCGCCTTGCGCGGCACGGAGAAGACGAGCCTGACAAATTGGATCCAAAATTTTGACTTCGAATTGGTCGACTGTAAAGATGCGTTTCCAAACTGGGAAGCGCCGATAGGGGCAGATGCATTTGAGAAGCCGGTCGAGGAAGTTGTGTGGGACATAATGTATGAGCGTCCGGTCGAACTGCGCCCGGACATCATCAAGGAAGGCTGCAAGGTCACTCGGGGATTCGCGCTTAACTACATGTCGCTGTTTGCTGCTGATGCGGGCGCCGGGATGTTTGCCGAAATCATCGACACGCTCAAGTCGCGACGGGACGCGGCGGCACTCTACACCACGGGTCACTCCCTCGGCGGGGCCTTAGTTTCGATGTTTCTGCTCCATCTTCTGGGGTGCAAGACCCCCGACTGCAGCGAGGCTCTCGCGAAAATCAGCGAGATACACGCCTACACGTATGGGCAGCCGCGCGTGGGCAACGACAACTTTGCTCTCACTCTCGAGTATGCCCTTCGCAAGGCTAACGCGGACACGGCTGGGGCGGCTCTCTATCGCATCACCCAGTGGAGGGACCCTGTGCAATACGGCCCCCCTCGCTTCAAAGGGTTTGCCCACGCCGGATACGAGGTTTACTACACTTTGCACGGCGGCGACGCGAAAGCAAAGTACTATGCGCAAAACCCGTGGGGCATCGGATATCCGCCAAACACGACCGAGCATCGCGATGACTTTAAGCATCCCTGCAACGAGGACAACAAGTGCCCTGCCTCCTGCTTGCTACCGGGGAACTTTGGGATGTCGGAAGGACGCGCGTGTGGCTCAGCAGCGACGGACTCTTTTGGTGGTGGGAGAACATATGGACCCACCCTGTTAAACGCGATCAGTGACCACATGGAATATATGTGCAACGAGAAATGTCGGGACGAATGAGCACCGGCGCATCGGCAATCTTGCCTTCTTGAGGACTGGGGCTGCAAGCCGCGCGCGTCATCCAACTCTTACCGAGAAAAAGACCACAGAATAAGATTCTATTTTGCAATTGCATATGCGTTTTTAGTATCATGACGTCTCTTGCCTGTCTGCGATATGGATGCGTTTGTTTACTTTGTAATCCCCTTTTTGTACTGCGTACGCTTGCGCTTCTCTCTCCTCTCTGATGCAACTCGACGCACCGTTGTCGTGCCGGCGCCGGCAAGCTGGCTGGTGGCCGCGCGCGGCGCGTCGGCGCGGCTCCAACTGGTCGGGCACCTCGGCTGGGTCCATCGGCACGAGGCCCGCCCCGTCGGGCAGCCCCGCGAGCGCATGAAGCCCCACCGAGAGGCGCTGATGCCCCACCGAGATCGCGCTGGGTTGGCAGGAAAATCACAAGGCGCGAAGGGGGGGGTCAAGTATGTTACATCATAGTCACGCGGCCGCGAGGGACCGCGGGGGGATGCTAGTGGGATGGGGGGCTCTGAGGGGAAGGGAGCGGGGGGCGCCCAGTGTAGGGCGCCGGCACCCCAGCGTAGAGGGCGTCGTGTAGCCCTCCTTTTGGTATAATATAGAAGAAGCCGTTGCAGGCTCGAGGCGAGAGCGGTTGAAGTCCAGCACTCGTAGCCTGACACCTACGCGGACGGTGCGCTGGACGGGTTAAAAAAAAACTGTTCAGTTTTCAAAGGCAAAAACGCCAGCCTACGCCCTCCCCTCACACTGACACTTCTCCCCTATTCCCGTCTTTAGGTTGCGCACATCTCCCAGCGAGCTAGGTTCTCCGCTTTTTCTCCCCTAGTCATCTGCCCGCGCCGCGCGCCTCTGTGGGCGTCTAGTGCAGCCACTGACAGAACTGTTCCAAAGGAGTGGTCAACGTCTCGCCTGAAGTCGGGTGGGCTCGCGCACTGCTTAGCCCTAGGGGAGGGGTGTGTGTGAGGTGTCGGAATGGTAAGGTTTCAGGCCGCCAAGGTGTGGGGGATTTGGGGGATGAGTCAGGAGCCAGCAGCCTTCCTGCTGGACCTGAGTTCACAGCTCCTCCGCCCGACGGGGTGGTCCCTTGGATTCGGGCCCCGCTCCCTTTTCCTGCGCCTGGTCTGTCCCTGTCAAGTGTGTGTTGCGAGATGCAGAGCTGGTTAGGCTGGAGCGCGGGCGGTGCGGTGGCAGGCGAGGGCAGCGCGGTAGGCGAGAGGCGGCCGCGGGGCTTCGAGTGGCGCGATAGGAGGGTAGGCTGGCTGTGGAGGGGCGCCGCGTGGCCTCGGCAAATGAGTAGTGCTTTATGAGCGGCCAGTTTTGTGCGTATTGCATATCGAGCCTGCGGTGTGGCCTAGTTGGTGCAGCGTTCGGGTCGGGGACGTTTTGGTCGTTGGTTCGAGCCCAGCTGGTGCAGTTCGTAGTCGCGTAGCGCGCGGGTGCGCGGCAGCCTCGGCAACCGAGGCGACAGTGGCGAGCAGTGGCGAGCAGGGGCGAGCAGGGGTCAGAGCAGTGCGGCGCGCCGAATTTTTTTCGATGGGCTCGGTCAGTGGGCGTGTCAGGAGGCGGCCGGCCGGGAGAAACTCGGCAGTAAAACTCTCGCGCCGGCCCAGGAGGTGGGAGTGTCACGGAGGCGGCCATTGGCGCGCGCTCCTTGTCTTCGTGGGTCCGAGTTTTTTTTCGCGCTGGACGGGTTAGGGTATGAGGTAAAACCATGCTACCAGCGCTTGGTCACAGCGGCCCCGAGGTCAGATCCCTCTACTCGGTTGTACTCAGCTTGTGTTGATGACAAGAGTCAAGACTTGTCTACTGGCTGGAGCCGAGCAGGAGGGCCCGGCGCACAACCCCTGGTCAACTCACCCTCCACACCCCGTATATGCTGGATCAGCTGAGCATGGCGGGAGAATCCCCCGGTCAGATCTTCACTTCAGATAAAGCCGTACCTCGAGGTATATGAGATATTTTGACGGTCCACCCGCCTCGTTTTTAGCCCAATCTCGTCTCGAAAAACGATCGGGAGGGGCGTTCATCGCCATCGCGCTTCGGCCCAAATAAATAAAAACGGACATCTCTCTACACTGTGTGAAAGCCCCGTCGCACCGTTTCTTCAAAAAAAGTAAAAGGAGGTACGCCACTCACTCACTCCGCGGCTGCCACCTCCTCGATAGCCGCCTCCAGCTGCGCTGCGACCCCGCCCGGCGGGATCTGCCACTCCCTCCCTCCGATGGCGTGGACCGGGATGCAGCCGCGCGTCGTGCTCATCACAAAGACTTCGGACGCGTGCAGCACGTCGGAGAGCTGGTAGACGCCCTCCGCGGCGGGACGGCCTAGCACCGTCTCCGAGGCGCGCATCGCGAGCGCCTGCGTCGTGGACTGCAGCAGCCCCAGCTGCCGCCAGTCGGGGAAGTGGAGAGCGCCCGACTCGTCGGCCCACCCGACGGCAAAGTTGGGCCCGTCGAGGACAAACAGCGACTCGAGGCCGTCGTCGGCTTGCGCCCCCTTGGGCTCCGCCGCACCCTTTGCGCCGCCGGGCGATTGCGCTCGATGCCGCAGCATCCGCTGCTTGGCGCGGCGGCTGTGAGGTCGCGCGAGGAGGAGGGCGTCCGAGAAGCCTGTCCACAGCGCCCGCGCTGTGAAGAGGCGCTTATCATAGCGAGCAGCAGGAGGGCGTCCAAGGTGCCGGCGGCGACGGCGCGGCGAGTGCTCTGCAGGTTGGGCGCATAGGCCAGCCATTTCACCGCATCCCACCCGTCGGCGCCCGCGGCGTGCCACGGCGCCACCGCAGGCTGCAGCGAGAAGGAGGGCGGCCACGAGGGTAGCGGTTGCCTGTTCACGGGCGCTGCAGCCGTGAAGCGCAAAGTCGCATTCGCAGCTGCTTCCGGCCGGACAGCGGATGGCACCACATGACAAACACCGTCGGCGGCGCGTCCCACTCCGCCGCGCCCTTGGTTGCCATGAGCCGCACACTGCCGATGCCGCCGTCCGCCGCGGCTGCAGTGCACCAGTCGCTCAGCGTTTCGCGCGGTGGCAGCGGCAGCTGGATCGCGTCGGCGCTGCGCTCAAGGCGGTCAAGGTGGAGCGACAAGGCGCGAGGCTTGCCGCCAGGCAGCACCCTCACCACCTCGAAGACGCCATCGCCGCGCTGGAACGACACGTCCCACGCGGAGACGGTGAGGGCCCGCGGGTCCGTCCTCTCACCGTTGACCGAGGCAAAGGTGGAGACGAAGCGGTGGAGGCTAGAGAGAGGGCGCTGCCGGCAACCACGTGCCACCAGCACTCGCGCGAGCATGAAGCAGAGCGCCGAGCTCTCGGCGGGCAGCGGCGGAGCAGCGGCGAGGAGCAGAGGCGGCGGCCCCCCCCCCGGGGGGCGAGCGAGTTCGCACCGAGTTGCAGCCCCGTTTGTTATGCTGTGAACCTGCTGTTGCCGCCGGTTGAGCAGCACCCCGTCCCCATCCAGGTTGTTGGTTGCTGCCCCAGGTCCCGCACTATGTAGGTGCACTGCTTTAGCAGCGTGCACCTACCTCGATCGACGATCCTGATGTCGGGGAAACTTTTTGCCCACCTCCGAGCCCAGATAGCAAGAGAGTCAAGAGAGAGAAATCTCTCTCTCAGATAGCGAGAGAGATTTTTAGCAATACCAAACGTTTTGTTGTCAGATAGCGCGCCGTGTGCGTGTCTGATCCTCGTCGGCATCTGCTTCCGGGCCTGGCGGCCCGCCACAAGGACTCAGGTGAGAAGTGCCCGCCGAAACATCGGTTCAAACGACGCTCACCCACAGCGGACAGCGCCAATTTGGCCCCAGCTCTTTGGCTCTCGCTCCGCTCGCCGGTGAGTTGGTTGGTTGCTGGCAGCACCCCAGCACCGGGGGGTCCTGAGAGCTGTTGGTTGGTGCTCTGTTCACAGCACAGTGCGGAACAAGGGTTGCAACCTGGTAAAGAAAAGGAGGGCTACACGACGCCCTCTACGCTGGGGCGCCGGCGCACTCTTGTTTCGTCCTCACGATCCGCTTTTTTCGTTGTATGTGGCTCTTACGAAAATCTCTCTCTCTTACGTACATTCCCGGAAGAGGACTGCTGACAAAGAAAGAAAGAAAGAAAACAGACAGCCCGTTTTTCTTTTTTATTTGGCATGTTTTGGCTCGCTAAGCGCGAACACACAGCCGGATCGCCCACGCCGCACTTGAGCCAGCCAGCTCTATACTTTCACAGCCGTGATGGCTGCTCGTCGCCCTCCGACCAGTGTGCTGACCTGCGGCGCGTTGCGTCGCATCTCGGCGGAGATGGACGCTCGCGTCGTCGGCCAAACCAAGGTGAAGCAGGCAATGCTGATGGGCATTGCCGCGTCTGAACACGTCTACGTCGAGGGTCCGCCTGGCGTCGCCAAGACGTTCCTCGCCGAGATCATGGCGCAGTCGTGCGGCCTCTCCTTCCACGCCATCCAATTCCACCGCGACACACGCCTCTGCGAGCTCGTTGGCGAGCCCGTGATTCGGCGCGAGGCGTTGGGAGAGGGCGCAGGCGAGGTTGTGCGGCAGGCGACGCTCCCGGGTGCGCTGCTGACCTGCGAGGTCGCCGTTCTGGATGACATCTCTCGCGCACCGGGCGAGGCGCTCAATGCGCTGCTGCGGCTGCTCAACGAGCGCGAGTACGAGGGCACGCCCATGCCGCTCCGCTCTGCGATTGCGACGGCCAACCCGGCGTCCGAGGACTACTACGTGGAGAAGCTCGACCCGGCCGCCCTCGACCGCTTCACACTGCAGGTGGAGGCGCGCGGCCTGCTGCAGGAGGCGGACTGGGCCTCGTGCGCCGACGTGCTGCGGCGGCACGCTCTGCACCCACCTCCCGGCGCAGCGGACGGCCTCTCCCCGCACGACCCGTGGCTCGAAGGAGGGATGCAGGTGTGCGACGGCGACGAGTCGCTCACCCTCGACGGAGTGACGCTGGGCGAGGAGCTCGCCGCGTCGCTACTGCTCGTGCTGCGCCGGCTGTCCGAGAGGACGACCTCGTGGTGCCGCGTCCACTCTCCGCGCCGTCGCTGCTGACCGACCGAACCTTGCTTGTGCGGTACCCGCGGGTAGTGCGCGCTTCGGCGCTGCTGGCGGGGCGGGACGAGGCGTCGCTCGACGACCTCCGCGTCCTCTCGCTCCTCACAACCTTCCGCTTGCCGCCGGAGCTGCATGCGCAGGTCGACTCCATTGTCGACGACGCAATCCTCGAGGCGCAACGCCTAAGCGGCGGCGGCGGCGACGGCGGCGGCGGCGGCAGCAGCGGCGGCGACGCGGCCAGTCGGGTGCGGGGCAGCGGCGGCGGCGGCGGCGACGGAGGCGGCGGCGGTGGCGGCGGCGGTGCGGAGGGCGAGAGGGCGGGCAAGGAGGGCGCGGGCGGGCAGCGCGAGCGGGAGGGGCAACAGAGTGCGCGGCAGCTGGAGACGGCGGCGGCGGCGGCGCCACCGCCGGCGGCTGCACTCGAGCCGCCGCAGCCGCAGCAGGCGAGGCAAGGGGTGGAGCAGGGGCTGGGTTCGCACGACTCGGAGGGTCGTGACGCGAGCTTGGACGCCGAGCGGCGGCGGATGATCGCGCAGTCGGTCGCGGGCGGCGACGAGGGCGGCGGCGCCCTCGCCCCCTCCAAGCGCCACTCCCCGCCTCTGGAGGCGGACGGCGCTTCTTCACACGACGGGCCGTGAGCAGGCGCCTACCCGGTGCTCGCGGCGCGGCTGGAGGAGCTGACTCGCTGGTGGGGGGCGGTGCGGTGGGAGGGGCCCCTCTCCTTCAACCTGTCGCCCGAGGCGGTGCACGGCGCTGACCGTCTCGTGGCGGTGCTGGCGGGCGAGATCGCACGCGGCGCGGCGCGCGACGTCGACCCCGCCGGCCCTCCCCGCCGCCGCCGCCGGCTGAGGGCGCTGAGCGACGGGCTTGCCGACGCGGACGCCGCCGAGCTAATGCGATGGGTGGCTACGCCGTCGCCGCAGCTGCCGGGCGCAGTCGAGCGGTGCGCGCGCCGCCGCTCGGGTGCGCCCGCGCTGCGGCGACGCAGGCGGGACGAGCAGCACCGCTGTAGAGCTCGATGCCCGTGAACAGGCGCGCTCGTGCTGCTGCGCGACACCAGCGACTCGATGTGGGGCGCCAACGCAAAGTGGGCCTCTTCGGTGAGTCGTTTTCCGCCCTCGAGATCGCGCGGCCAATGATTCAAGAGGGTGAACGGTCAATGATGAGTGAGCAGGTTGCCCTCTCTGCCCTCGGACTCGCGCGGCGCCGCTCTCTGCCCTTCGTCTACGGCGAGTTTGCCGACCGCTGCCGGTTGCTCGACCACTCCGCGGTCGGTCGGCCGGGGGGAGGCGGGGAGGGAGGCGGGGGGGGAGGCGGGGCGGCGTCGAGGCAGATTGAGCACGGCGGCGGCGGCGGCGGCGGCGGCGGCCCATTCTCCGGAAGCGGCGGCGGCGGCGGCGCTGTCGTCGGGAGCATGCGTGAATGGGACCGAGGGGAGGAGGAGGAGGAGACGGAAGGTCGTCTCGCGGGGCGCCGCCCCTTGTATGTCGGCCGCGAGTACTCTGCGGCCGACGAAGCGGCGCGCTCCCTCGCCACGTCGGGTCTCACCAACCTCGAGGCGGCGAGGGATCGCCGGGAGATCGCCGAGACGGGAGCCGAGATATAGCCGAGGTCTCCTCTGCCGTAGGCGGCACTCGATGCGGCGCTCGGCGCGGTGAACACATTCTCAGCTGGCCGGCGGCGTGAGGCGCGCGCCTTTTCACACGGCTGCGGCGGCGAGCAGGTGCGTGGCGGCCGGTCGGTGCGTCGTCGCGGCCTGCACCTCCTCCTGCTCTCTGATGGCGCGCCGACCAAGGGCGACCTCCAGTGCTCGCGGCAGGTCGCGTCGGCGCTAAGGCTCGGTGTAAGCATCCACACTTGCTACATCAGCGACGGCTGCGACGAGGTGCCGCCGACTCGCCCCCTCCCCCCCCCTTCACGCACACGCACGCACACACCCGTTTACGCACGCACACACACACACCACCACCACCACACCACACCACTCACACCACTCATGCATGCGCACTGGGCCTTGCGCGTTGAACGTCCCAGGGCTTCTGTCTTTGGACGTGGAGTCGCGAGGGCTGCAATGCCCTTGCCCAACCACCATTTCCCCTGCCTTACAAGGTGCCACCGCTCCTGCAGCACATCTCGCGCCAGACAAGCGGAGCGTCGTTTCACGCCATCCCGCGGCAGGAGGCGGGGCTGGTCACCGCTGTAAGCGTCAAGCGCGTCGCGGTCTGAAGTGGCCGCGCGATCGCCGAACCTCTCTGTACAGTTCTACACCGGCGCCACCGGCACGGCTGCTCTGATACCAGTGCGAAACGGGCGAGGCAGAGCTACGATGTGTCTGTGTTGTTGAGTCTCTTTTGTTTGAGGGTGAGGTGTCCCCGAGAGTGAGGCAGGCGTCTTCTTTATGTGCGTGGTACTTTCCGACGTGCGTTTGAGTGTGTATATCCACGCGGATGCGCGCGGTCAGTAGTTTCGGGTGTGGGCTGCTAGCCGCGCTGCGCCCCTGCGGCTGGTCTCGCGGCTCGTTTTCTCTGCAAAGAGAATGAATAAATAAAAGTCAAACCCCGTTCAGGTGCGGACTTATCTTGCAACTATCTATCTATCTTGGTACGGCAAAGGAATAAAAAGAATTGCGAAGCTTCCACGCCCGAGGGAGTCTTAGCGACGACCTGAGCAGCCCAACCCCACGCCGCAAGTCGCGAGAGCGGCGGGGTTAGGCCGAGAAACTTCCGCGTGTTTCTTCAAACTACACATAGTGTACACATAGTGTACAGATGCGGCGTTCTTCTTTCAAGAAAGAATTCCAGGCGCGCTCTCTTCTTCACGCGCAGAAAAGAATTTTACTAGAAGCCCCTCTTCAGAAAAGAATTTTATTACCACAAGCCCCTCTTCAGAAAAGAATTTAAACAAACCAACTCTCTCTCACAGCAGACAGGCTCGACACAGGTGCGAATTGGCGCGTGCTAGTACTATCACAGGCACAGAAAAGAATTAAAAGAAAACAACTCTCTCTCACAGCACACAGGCTCGACACAGGTGCGAACTGGCGCGTGCTAGTACTATCACCGGCACACCACCGGAGCCAAGCGACAGGAAAGAACCTTTTGTGGTGCTAGTCCGCGTCCGGCCGGAGCCCGTAGCGCCCTGCACGGCGGGGCCTCGTGACCTACATCGATGTAGATAAAGAAACCACACTGAGCAGTGCACACACCACGAGATATGGCTGGATGAGCCTTCGGCCAGACGTCCCCCCCCTCGACGAGTCGCGACGTACGGCTCTAGTCGAGTAACACCACATATCTCGGGACAAATAGCACAGGGGTCCTCAATCCCTGCCCCCACAATCGAAGGTAGTGGGGCTGCACGTCGGTTGCAGGCAGTCCTGCTGCGGATGCGGGTTGCGCGCGGCGGGCTCAAGACCGCGGCGGGGGTAGTTGCCGTAAGTACTCGAAGGTGCGCTGGCAGGCGTGCTCGGCCGAGCCAAGATAGGGGCCGCTCGAGTTGACCCCCAGGGAGGAACGCGTCCATGCCCCCTGAGGGATCTGCGGAATGCGCAAAGCGACGAGCGGGAATGCGGATGCGGTATTCCCAGGTAGAGGCTGGTGATGGCGAGGGTCTCGCCGAGTCGACGGCGCAGGTGCCTCAATCCTGGCCTCCAGCGGGACGCCTCGCCGGCCGTGGATCCCCGGCGTGATGGGGGCCTCAGAGCTCAATGCGCAAACCGAGATGCGGTGAGCGAGCGCCCTAGCCTGAGCGCGCGCGGCGGGAAGCCGCGGCGCTGGCGGCAGGGTCGGTGACGGTGGATAGCGTGTTGGGCGAAAAAAGGGCGGAGTCGCGACGCTCCGCCGCTGCCACGTCCGGCCGGAGCCCGTAGCGCCCTGCACGGCGGGGCCTCGTGACCTACATCGATGTAGATAAAGAAACCACACTGAGCAGTGCACACACCACGAGATATGGCTGGATGAGCCTTCGGCCAGACGGTCCGTGCCAGTCTGCTGTGAGAGGGGCTTGTATTCGTAGAATTTACGACCTCTCTCTTCACAGCACGCCCGGTGCACGCCCTCCCCTCTCGCGGCCCTTCCCTCTCGCGCCCGTTGCCGATGACGTTCCCCGACGAGTGGGGCGCCGGCGGCGGGGACGGCGGCCCGACCGAGTCGAAGCTCGTCCAGCTCTCGATGCAGAGCAACGAGGCGCTCCTCATCAAGACGCTGCTGGCGCGGAGCTGCCCGAGCGCAAGGCTGAGCCGCGTGCAGCGCGTGCAGAACAAGAAGCTGTGGTGCGAGTACACCCACTACCGCGACGCATCGCTCGTCCACACCTGCGCCGGCGGCGACGTCAACGAGATGCTCCTCTTCCACGGCACGGCGGAGCGGGCGGCGGAGGATGTGCTCGCGCATCAGAACGGGCTCGACCCGCGCTTCTCCAACGGCGGCTTTTACGGCCAGGGCATCTACCTCGCGGAGGACCCGTCGTACCCGATCGGCGGCCGCTACGCGCACCGCATCTCCGGCTCGGGCGGGAGCCGCGTGCAGCTGCTCATCGTGAAGGCCGCCCTCGGCTCGCAGCAAGAGATGGGGCAGCGCATCAGCGCGGAGACGAGGGCGATGCGCATGCCGGACGTGCGCGTCGAGGGCCCTCCCCGACTGCTCTACGACAGCGTGCGCGGCGGGCCGCACCGCCCCTTCGTCTCCGGCGGAGGCGAGAACGGGTGCAACGCCTCCATCGTACACGTTGTGTACGAGTCGCGCCAGATGTACCCGGCGTACGTGATCGAGGTCGAGATGGAGATGGGGGCCGAGGTGGTGGCGGCCGTGCAGAACAACTCAGCCGAGGGTATTGCGAGCGCCGGCCCGGCACCCAAGCGGCAGCGCCACGCTGCGCCGAGCGGCGGCGGCGGCGGCGGCGGCGGCGGCGGCGGCGGCGGCGGCGGCTCCAGCAGCGGCGGCGGCAGCGGCGCTCATGTCCCCGCCGCTGCGCCACCGAGCGACGCGGAGGTGCGGGCGATGGGCGTGGCGGCGGCGGCGGCGGCGCTGCGGGCGCACGGGTCGGTCAGTCGCGTCGCGCTTGCGGCTTGCGGGCGGTTGGCTGATCTGTGCAATGAGGTGCAGAACAGGCAACCCGCGGCGGACGCGGGCGCGATCGAGGCGATCGTGATGGCGATGCAGGCGCACCCGCAGGTGGCGAGCGTGCAGCAGTTTGGCTGCCGGCTACTGGCCAACGTGTGCGCCGGCACCGACGCCGCAGGGCTTGCGCACAAGCAGCGCGCAGCAGACGCGGGCGGCATTGGGGTGGCTGTGGCAGCGATGCAGGCGCACCCGCAGGTGGCGGACGTGCAGCAGTTTGGCTGCTTGGCGTTGGGCATCGTGTGCGCCGGCAGCGACGCTGCAGCGCTCGCACGTATGCAGCGCGCAGCAGACGCGGGCGGCATCGAGGCGATCGTTGCGGCGCTGCAGGCTCACCCGCAGGTGGCGGGTGTGCAGGATTATGGCTGCTGGGCGATGGGCAACGTGTGCTCCGGCAGCGACGCCGCAGCGCCTGCACGCAAGCAGCGCGCAGCAGACGCGGGCGGCATCGAGTTGATTGTGGCAGCGATGCAGGCGCACCCGCAGGTGGCGGACGTGCAGTATCATGGCTGCGGGGCGCTGGGCAACGTGTGTCTCGGCACCGACGCCGCAGGGTTTGCACGCATCCAGCGCACAGCAGACGCGGGTGGCATCGAGGTGGCTGTGGCGGCGCTGCAGGCGCACCCGCAGGTGGCGGGCGTGCAGCGGTTCGGTTGCCGGGTGCTGGTCAACGTGTGCTTCGGCACCGACGCCGCAGCCCTCGCACGCAAGCAGCGCGCAGCAGACGCGGGCGGCATCGAGGCGATCGTGGCAGCGATGCAGGCTCACCCGCAGGTGGCGGGCGTGCAGCAGAATGGCTGCTTGGCGATGGCCAGCGTGTGCTTCGGCAGCGACGCTGCAGCGTTCGCACGCAAGCAGCGCGCAGCAGACGCGGGCGGCATCGAGTTGGTCGTGGCGGCGCTGCAGGCGCACCCGCAGGTGGCGGGCGTGCAGCAGTTTGGCTGCTTGGCGTTGGGCAACGTGTGTTCTGGCAGCGACGCTGCAGGGCTCGCACGCAAGCAGCGCGCTGCAGACGCGGGCGGCATCGAGTTGGCCGTTGCAGCGCTGCAGGCGCACCCGCAGCATGCGGGCGTGCAGCAGGATGGCTGTGGGGCGCTGTTCGACGTGTGCGTCGGCAGCGACGCCGCAGCGCGGGCGCGGAGGCAGCGAGCTGTGATTGCGGGCGCTCCCGAGGCGGTGGCAGGGGCTATGCAGGCGCTCCCGGGCGACGCAGCTGTCCAGAGGCAAGGACAGCGTTTGCGTGATCTTCTTGCCTGAAGGGATCCGGGCCGCGCGGACCAAAAGAGCACAACATGAACAGGCACGCATAGGCTCCGGTCTGTGGGAAGAACGCATAGTGCTCTGGTCTGTGGGAAGAGCTTGCGCGATCTAGCTGGTTGTCTGAAGGGGGTTGTCTCTGAGCGCACAGGCGCTCCGTTCGTGTGGGATTCTGCATCTGGGATTCTGGGAAGAGCTTGCAGATCTGCAGCTTCCGTTGACCAACCAGCTTCGGAGAGGAGGAACCCGTTAGTGTCCACCAACGCCACCCCGGACAAACGCCCCAGACAAAGCAGCCTGAACGAAAGCCAGGCGCGGCGGCCGGCGCGCATCTCACGCGTGTGTCTCGAGGTCGAGCCTCGCTGCGCCATCCTCCGCAACCTCGAGCAACCGCAAATCGCCTTGCTTGCTACTACACAGTGGACAGCTCGCTTCTGTGCACGCGCGGGGCGGCAGCCCGCGCCCGGGCCACGGAAGCGGCCGCCCTCGCCGCCCGCCATCTCGGAGAGCCCCGCCGCCGCTTCTCTCGGATCTCCGCTGAATTCCTCTTCTCGGTCACGTCGTGCGGCGGTCGGGGGGAGGCAGCCAGGGCGCCTTGCCCTTGCCGCCGACCGCGGCGCCGAGGCGGTCGTCGCCCAGCTTGAGCTTTTGTGCGCCGGCCTGAACCCGAGCGCCGCGTGCTGCCGCTCCCCCGGCCCCGCGTGTCTCTCCGCCCCTCCTCCTCCCCCTCCCCCCATCAGGGAGGGAGAGGAGGAGTGTGCCCCGCGCGTTCGACGGGCCTGGGCCCATCGTACAAGCATGTGCCTGCGCCCGGCCACCATGTCCATGCACTCTCGCCCCTCTAGAAGGGCGCGATCCGCTTCGCGATGTACTCAGCGAAGGTCTCGGCCTTGTGAATCGCCTGCTGCTTCGCCTTCGGGTCGTTGGGGTCCACCTCGGTCGGCTCGGGGTCGCGCGTCGCCTCGCCGCCGCCAAAGCCCTTCCCGCCCCCGGCACTGGCACCGGCGGGCCCAGAGCCCGCGTCCGCCAGCTGCGCCTTCAGCCGGGCGACCTCGGCCTGCAGCGCCGCGTTGTCCGCCTTGAGCTCCTCGTACGCAGCATCTAGGCAGGCAAGCCGATCCATGAGCGGTCTGACGAAGGGGCCGTCGCCCAAGTATTCGTGCAGGTCTGTCGACCATGCCGCATAGTCAAAGCTCGGCGTCAAAGCCGACTCCCACTCTGAACCCGCAGACTCGGAGCCCTCGCCGCCGAGCGCCATCGCTAGACCCGTGACCTGCCGGCGCGTGACGACGCGCGGATGGCCCGCGAGGGCGAAGAGCATGGCTGGCCAGTCGCTTGTTGTGTCCTCGTCTGTCAGTCCGAGGAGGAGGCGGGCGGCGTCCCCTATCGGGTCGAGGACCCGAACCCAGCCCTGGCGCGTCCAGGGGGGGATTCGCAAGCGTGGATTCGGCTATGCGCAGATAGGGTACAATCGCCGTTCTTTCCCAGACCTACTCAACAACAGCCCGCTGCCTCGGCGTGCGTCGAGCGGGTAACGAGGACGGCCCGAGTGGAGGACCAGATCTCACCACAAGGCCGCCCGCGCCGCCGGGCTTGCGGCCGGTGCGACCGCGGTCACCGCCTTGCACTCGAGGTTGACCGTGCCGTCCGCGCCCTCCGCCCAGAGCTCGACCCGCTGGATGTTGCCGAGCTGCTTGGCCGTCAGGCAGGCGGAGGCGTCCTCGGAGCACTCCTTGGTGTGCTCGCCCGTGGCGGACGACCAGAGGTCGCTGAACGACGAGAGCGGCAGCACGACACGCTGCCAGCCGTCGCCGCCCGGCACGGAGAACTTGGCCTTGTAGCAGCCGCGCGAGAGAGGGAGGTTGCCGCCTCCGGCGCAGGCGAACGACGGGGAGAGCGCACCGGCCGCAACCGTCACGCGAAAGCCCTTGTACTCCGGCGTCTTGGAGCGCACGAGCAGCTCGAGCGAGCCGCCGGCCGCCGCGCTGGCGTTGGGGAAGCTGCCGTCCGCCGCCGCCTTGATGAAGCCGGGAGCCTTGAGGGACGGCACGTCGGCGACGACGCCGTTCATCACGCCGATGCCGTTCTCAACCTTCCAGGTGCCAGTCGACTGCCCGCCCATGACGGGGTCGTTCAGCTCGTTGAAGGTGAAGGTGGTGCCGGGAGCTCCGTCGAAGGTGACGAGCGGGACCTGCGAGACAGGGTGAAGTGAGGCTTGGGAGCAGGGCGAATCGTGGCGACCGGGTGATGTGAGGCTGGGAGGCAGGGCGAAGCGCACGGTGGCGACCGCGCACGGAGCCCCGTAAGTAGCGGCGGCACAGAAGGAGAGCATGTGGTGTGGCGCTCGGCAAAGTAGGCGATTGTTCAATGCTGACACGCTGTCGGCGTCACCGGTGGAAGTTTATTGGTAGGTTTGAGAGAGAGAGAGAGATTTTTTTGTTGATTTGTTGAAACGAAAGAGAAGTTTCTTAAAAGAAAGAAATTCCACAAAGAAAGAAATTCCAGGTCTGACGGTACACACACAATCACGGTCAGGAAATGATGGCCGCCGCTGTCTCGCTTCTGTCGGCGACCTGCACCCTGCTCATGCCCGAATCCCTCGCCGTCGCGACCGTGGCTACGATGGCTCTCGTGGATGCGTGCAACACGATGGGCACGATCAACACGCTGTCCATGCCGGCGGGCCGCAAGCGGCAGGACTCGAGGACGACAGTCAAGCTAGCACAAGCCGCGATGCGGGCCGACCTCGCGATGGAGCTGGACGAGGCGCAGTGGCGGCCTCCGGCGGTTGCGGCTGAGGGCTTTACGCTCGACTTCTCCGCGGGATCCTTTGCGTGCTTCGAGACCGTGGACGGTGGCAAGCGTTCGTGGGTTTGCGTGTGAGGCTGTGTGCCAATCGCACCGCAATTCCGGTCAGCATTCCGAGTGTCGGCCGCCGGGGCGAGAGGCGGTATCGGCCTGTCCGCTCGAGACTGTTGTGCAGAAGCTAGATTCTTGTCCATGTCGGCAGGCCCCGTGTAGACGGCTGACGGACGAGAGGTGGGACTGTGTGACGGCGGGGCTCTCTCAGTGACAGTGTGAGCATCCCAGCTCGCGAGCTCGCCCGTCAGTTCTAGCACCGGGTCAGTCACAGCTGAGAAATTTGACTTGGAAGAAGGGCGAAGATACACACACCTGACGTCACACACTGAGACTTGAGTCTTGACCCACACGAATCACGATCCACGGCTTCGTCCGCCTTCAGCCTCTCTAGAGCCGTAGAGCCGTAGAGGCTCGCTAGAGTAAAGTACCTTGGTATGATCTAACGGCTCAGTCCTCCGAGCTGTACCCGATGAACGTGAAGCCGGCGTTCCACTCGCCCAGGCCGCACGTGCCGTGCCACCAGCCACGTGCCGCAAAGCCAGGATCGACTCGGTTGCCAGGCACGACGATCGACTCGCCCTCCTCGACGACACACAGCCTGAGAGGGCGGTGATGGCACGTTTAACACCGACAGCGGCGGAAGCGGCGAGGGCGTCGAATCAGTCAGAGGCGAGGGGCAGTAATGGCAGCGCCGGGAAGGTTTGTGGGGAGGGTGGCGCCAGAGAGGGCGGGAGCAAAGGTGGCGGCGGCCAGGGCTGCGACCTTGCTCCGGGCGCGGCAGCCGCGCCCGCCGCACCGCCGAAAAGGCCGCAGAAGTCGTCGCGCGTCTCCGCCTGACAAGAAGCAGACGGGCGGGGCGGGTGAGGAGGTGCCGTGTGACGCTCACCTTTGAATGGCGAAGCTCGTGATTGCGGGATCGCAAGCCGCTGGGTCTGCTGCCGCCTCCGAGAGCAGAAGCAGGGAGGTGCGATCTGGGCATCTGAGAGCCGCGGCGTCCGTCGACCCAAAGAAGGCTCTGTTGCCGTACGCCTCGCGCTGCTGCCACGGCGCGAGCGCCCACCCCTTGCGGCCCGCGAGCTGCGTGAAGACCGCAACCTGGTGGTTGTGCACCGGGTTCCACTGCCTAAAGAAGCAGCGCCGGCGTCAAAGAAACACGTGGTGTTGCAATAGAAGGCGTGGCGAGGTCCGGGGTTGTCGGCCGTAGGCCTTTTCCGTCTTGCCATGTGTGCGTGCTAGCCCCGCGCGTGGAGTGTGCTGGGGTCCCTCCCGTTGCCCCCGCCCGATCTGTACTTTAACGCTGCCTGGCAGACCCCATCGAGGCGTGCCGCCAGCGACCGAGGCCCTGCAGGACGCGGCGGAGCGGCGGCGGCAGCTGCGATTTGCGCGGTATCAGGCGCGGCCAGATGAGGTTGTGCGCAGGCACGGTGAGCCCCGCGCCCGGCAGGAAGAGGTTTCCGGGCTGGTCGACGCTGAGGACCTCTCGCAGCGTGACGTTGAAGCCCGCATAGCGCTCAAACTTTCGACCGCCGGCTTTGATAGGGGCAGCCGCACGGTGCGCCAGAAACCACGAGCCCGCACCGTTGAAGCTGAGGTCTCGCTGCGAGAGGTTGAAGGAGCCAAACTCGCGAAGCAGCCGGCGGCGGCTCCAGTCAAAGTGGCGAAGGCTCGCGCCGTGCGTGATGATTGCCGGCTCGTCCCAGGTTTGCACGTCGCCCGCCTTGATCGTTGACGCGTGGACTCGGCGGCAGCCAGACATTGATCGTCAGCGCCGGGGTTGCCACCTACCCGGTACCCTATATACTTGGGTTTAGGTTTGGGTACGAGTGGGGCGGGCCCCGGTGCGTGAGAGCTCCCTTTTTCTTTTTCGCTTTTAAAAGTGAGTTGTTGCATGAGTCTTCTCAAACTTGGCCGAAACAGGATCGTCCCCCCCGTAATCAAGCCAACCGCCCCGCGCGGCCCCGGCCGCCATGGACCCGACCTGCAACTCCACCGCCTCCGACGCACATCAACCCTCCGAAGCCAGCATGCACCTTCAAAACACGCTCGTCTGCTTGGCGTTGCTCGGCGGCATCGACAAGTTGCTGCTCACGCCGTTCCTGCAGCGGCGCTGCACAGGAAAGGACGTGGGAATAACTCGCTGGTTCTTTTTGCACAGCATCGCGAACGCTGCCGTCTGCGCAACCGCCCTCGTGTCCATGCGAGCGGTCCTCATCGACCCGCTCCACGCGCTCGATGGGCGAGTGTACACGGACACCTCCATTTTTGGCGAGGAGCGGCACCTAGATTGTGCAAGAGTGCAGGCCGCACACACTCAAACAACTACAGCCCACCAACAGCAGAGTGCGTGGCAACACCTCGCGTTCCGCTCGGCCGCAGGCGAGCGTGTGGCCGCTGACAATCATCAACGCCGTCCACGTCTACCACATGGTGGGCGGCTTCCGATTGACGGGCGCAGACTACTTTCACCACCTCGTGTTCATCCCCACGCTCGGCTTCCCAGGCCAGATTTTCCGGTGGGGTCCGCTCGCAAATTGGTTGGCCTTCTTCATCAGCGGGCTGCCCGGGGGCGTCGACTACCTGCTGCTCGGACTGATCAAAATTGGCCGCGTGCACCACATGCTTGAGAAGCGCGTGAACGCCAACCTCAACTCGTGGGTCCGAGCGCCGGGCATCCTCTTCGCCACCTGCCTGCTCTACCAGGCGCTCGTGTACGGGCACTACATCGTCCCGCTGTGGGCGATCGCCCTGCAACTCGTCCTGCCCGCGTACAACGTCGCTCACGATGCTGGCGCATCCGTCAGCCCGCTCCGCGGCGCGCTCGACGCGGTGATGCTCCACTGTAGGCGATGTACTTCAATAAGCAGGCCGTCGCCAACTATGCCGTACACTACATGCTCAACCTGCTCGGCCAGGCTCCGCTCCCCTCCCCGGCCCGACCCCGACCTCCGCTCGCTCACTCATGTCTGAAGCGCCCTCGCCGCTCGTGCGCCAGGATGAGTTGATTCGCAAGCACATTGAGCAGCGCGTGAGCTGGACCACGGGCGAGGAGGTCATGTCGTGGAAGGACGCTGTATCGGTGCCCCAGAGGGGATCCTGATCGCTGGGGTTGCGTGGTCTGTCGTGATGCCTCTAGCAGTCGCCTCCCGCTCGCCTCGACCGGCTAGGGGCCATGGCGCGTTCCCAGAAAACCACACTCGCGCGCGTCGGTGTGTCCAGCCCCTTGGAGTGTGAAGGCTTCGTAGCCCTCCGGTCTACTAAAGAACCGCAGGACTGGGCTGCGAAAAAAAGCAAGCGAGTGGCACAACCACCCCGGGCTGGTGCTAGTCCCCCATCGGGAGGACGACCCCGGCTAGTCGCCGACCACACCCACAAAGAACCCTGCACAAAGACCGCAGGGCGGGGACCTGTTCCTTTTTACCCATCTCCTAGTAGAGGTGTCCGTTTTATTTATTTCGTACCCCGGGCTGGCGCAGCGCGTCGGGCGATATTGTACGCGCCGCTTCCCTTCGCGCTGGTTAGATTCTTCTTCCCACCTCTCTATCCCACACAGACACACAGTCGTCACGCACTCGACGACCCCACTCCCTCCGCAAAGTCGCCCTCGAACTCCTCGCGGTCGCGCTGGCGCGCCGCACCGTCAGGGCCGTAAGCGTCGAGCCTGATCTGGGCCCGCTCGAGCCAGCCGAGCAGGCCGGGGCGGCAGCGCTTGTAGGCGAGGACCAGGTCGACCGCCGCGTACCAGCGCATCTTTGCGGGCGGAAGCCGCAGCAGGGCGGTGGCGGGCGGGAAAAGGTGCGTGGCTGCGTGAGTGGCGGTCGGCACGGTGACGCGGGTTGGCACGGTGACGCGGCCGAGGGAGGGGCAGTCGCGGAAGGCGGCGTAGCCGATGGAGATGAGGCCGGCGGGGAGGGCGACGCGGGCGAGGGAGGAGCAGCCGCGAAACGCTTGGTCGCCAATGGCGGTGAGGCCGACAGGGAGGGTGACAGAGGCGAGGGCGGAGCAGCCATAGAAGGTCTGAAAGCCGACGACGGCGAGGCCAGCGGGGAGGGCGACGGAGGCCAGCGAGGAACAGTGGTCGAAGGCGTTTATGCCGAGGGAGGTGAGGCCGGCGGGGAGGGCGGCAGAGGCGAGGGAGGGGCAGCGGTTGAAGGCGTGGGTGCCGATGGAGGTGAGGGTGGGGGGGAAGGCCAGGGAGGTGAGGGAGCGGCAGCCGCTGAAGGCGCAGTCGCCGATGGCGACGAGGCCGGCGTTGAGGGTGACGGAGGTGAGGTGGAGGCAGAGCTCAAAGGCGCTGCGGCCGATGGAGACGAGGCTGCTCGGGCAGCTGACGGATACGAGCGCTGTGCTGTAGATGAACGCCCGGTCCGGCAGGTGCGTCATGCCTTCGGGCAGCACCGCGTGCCCGTCCGTGACGACGACGCGCCAACCGCCCAAATCCAACGTGTCGGGTGGCGGGGTGGCGTTGTTCGGCGACGGCGGCGCGAGATGACCAGCGGCGGCAGCGGCGGTGGCGGCGCCCAACGTCTCGGGCTCGCCATTCGCGATCGCCTGGTATGCGATAATGGCGAGCAGCTGCTCTCGCGAGAGGCCCGCGAGGCGGGCAGCCAGGCGGCTAGACATGAGACGCTCGCTCCTCGCCTCGGGCGGCCCCGGCGAGCGTTGTGGTCTGAAATCGCGGAATTTCTTTTTTTGAGCTCGCCTTCGAGAACGCCCGGTCCGGCAGGTGCGTCATGCCTTCGGGCAGCACCGCGTGCCCGTCCGTGACGACGACGCGCCAACCGCCCAAATCCAACGTGTCGGGTGGCGGGGTGGCGTTGTTCGGCGACGGCGGCGCGAGATGACCAGCGGCGGCAGCGGCGGTGGCGGCGCCCAACGTCTCGGGCTCGCCATTCGCGATCGCCTGGTATGCGATAATGGCGAGCAGCTGCTCTCGCGAGAGGCCCGCGAGGCGGGCAGCCAGGCGGCTAGACATGAGACGCTCGCTCCTCGCCTCGGGCGGCCCCGGCGAGCGTTGTGGTCTGAAATCGCGGAATACTGTCCCGTTTTGCTGTTCACAGCTAGGGACGGCCTCTGCTGCAAAGTCAAATCACCCCCACCACCGGCCTCCCTCCCACAGGCAAACCTTCGGCTCCGCTCAGAGGCTCGCCGCGCCCGTGCTGCGCGCCGAGGCGGCGCCGAGGCCGGCGCCTTGCACCCGGCCCGCGGCCGGCACCGCCTCGCCCCACAACTGACCGCCCTGCGGCCCCTGCGCAGGCGTACCACAGCGTCGCTCAAAAAGCGACGCCGGGTGTGGGCTGCTCCCTTGACCCGTCACCCGCCGCGGCCCGTGCGGCGCGCCGAGGCGGCGCCGAGGCCGGCGCCTTGCACCCGGCCCGCGGCCGGCACCGCCTCGCCCCACAACTGACCGCCCTGCGGCCCCTGCGCAGGCGTACCACAGGCGTCGCTCAAAAAGCGACGCCGGGTGTGGGCTGCTCCCTTGACCCGTCACCCGCCGCGCCCTCGCCCGGCCGCCTCACCGCTCACGGAGGCTGCTCGCCGCCGCCGCCGCGCGTCCCGCGCCGCCACGCATGCCCCTTGCCCTGACGCGCGCGCTCTGCAGCGGCGCAGAGCGCGCGTCCCTGGCACAGACGGAGCAGCGGCCGCGCCAGCGGTCGCTGCTCCGCCCCCCCGTCGCGCGCGCCGCGCGCGCGCTGCCGCCGCCGCCGCCGCCGCCGCCCCCTCCTCGCCGTCTTCCCCACCCTACCCTCTGTTGCGCGCGCCGCGCCGCCGCGCTGCGCGCCCCCGCCCCCGCCCCCGCCCCCGCCCCGGCTCCCAAGCGCCCCTTCCCCGGTAGGTGTGCGTAGAAAGTGGAACCAATCGAGAGGTGGCAGAAGCCGCCGTGTGTGACACATATTGCGGCACGTGAGAGTGAGACAGAGCCCCGGCAGCGGCCAGCGGCCAGCGCGCGCGCGCGCAGCGGCCAGCGCAACAGGCGTTTCAAACAGCAAACGGGACGGCCTGCGCAGCCTCTAACTATTTCTTTTTTTGAGCTCGCCTTCGATGAAACAAACGCAAGGCGGACACACGCACATCGCTCTCGGGCCCACAGACATCCCGCACACCCGCCGCCCCCGCGCGCCCCCCACCCCGGCCGGGAGAAAGGGGAGTGACAGTTTGGGACGGCAACATAACGAGTATCTTGCACTCCATGTGCGAGAGATTTGTGTTTTGTTTTGTCATGTGCGAGAACGCAGAGAGAAATGAAAGCCGTCCGGCTCACAAGTCCGGCTCACGCGCCCCGAGCTGACCATCTACCGCACTGGCCACTTCCGCCCCCTCGCTCCCAACCCATCCACCTCGCCGACCGCAGAACGCGCGATCTCGGGCGATCTCGGGCCGCGCCGCGCGATCTCGGGCGATCTCGCGCAATCTCGGGCGATCTCGGGGCCGCGCCGCGCTATCTCGGGCGATCTCAGAGCGTCGCTCGCGCGGCGGCACACCTGCTCAAAAAAAGGAAGGGCCCGGTTGGAGCCACGGGGCTCGCGTGCTCGCTCGCGGCTCGGGGCGCCGCCTCACTTTGCGCCACTTTCTTTTCTCATCTCCACAACCCTTCCAACTCTCAATCCTGCCTATACCGCCGCCTCTCTACCCCAGACGTGCGCCCGTACTGCCGCCGTAGGTACCCGTCTCGCTGGGACCGCAAAGTCAGCCGTATCTTCGGCCAAGTCGGCCGCCCAGTGGATGTGCTCGGCCCGGACGAGCTCGCGCGGCGCTTCATGAGAGCCCACGGCGCACGGCGAGATTTGCTTCGAAGTTCGCGAGCACCTGCCGTGCGTCCCCTCTGGCTAGAGCTCGAAGGCGCCCCCCTCCCGGCAAACCCCGCAAAGTGACCCGTTTTTACCCACCCACGGCCGTGCGCGCGTATCTTAGCTAAGGTACGCGGCCACACGCGCTGGCGCGCACGGCAACCGGGACTTACACGCGCGACACGAGGGACTGTGTATCCTTGCCTGCCTCGGGGGAGAATAGCCGCCCTCACCCGCTGTGCCGCGCATCGAGCTCGGCGGGGCTGATACGTGTCATTCTGTGCCGGCGCGTATCTTAGCCAAGATACGCGGCCACACGTGCAGACGCGTATAGCGGTACTCGCGCCACACGTGCAGCCGCCTATCTTGGCCAACAAAGGCGGACGTGAGCGCGTGAAACGGCCCGTCGGCGAAGGCGACTCGCGCTGGCAATCCCGAGCGAGCGTCCGGCCAACTGGGTGCGCTTCTTAGCTCCCCGGTCCTGGACGTGAGGTTAATGACCGCACTCCAAGTGCTCCAAGTGCACGTGCACAGAGGGATGTTGACATACGCGGCTACACGTGTGGGCGCCTATCTAGGGGAACAACGCGCCCCATGCGTGGGCGTGTATGTTCACGCGGTACGCGGCTGCGAGTGCAGCCGCCTATCTTGGCCAAGATAGGCGGCTGCACGTGTGGCGCGAGTACCGCTATACGCGTCTGCACGTGTGGCCGCGTATCTTGGCTAAGATACGCGCCGGCCGGCGCCGGCACAGATCCACAGAATGACACGTATCAGGCCCCGCCGAGCTCGATGAACGCCAGCGGGTGAGGGCGGCTATTTGGGTCGGCGCGAAGGGTGAGGTCTCGACCGCCGCCGCTCACGCCAGCGGACGGCCACCATCGGTGTTTTTGGCTTCGCCACCGTCCAAGGCGTGCGCCATGCGCTCGCCGGCATCGAGCGAGCAACGTGATCGACCGAGCGGCTTGCTGTGTGGACGCCTTCTTCTGGCTCTCGTCGAGAGCGTTTTGCGTCCCGGCGGGTGGGAGAACATGTGTCGTCTGATGTGTCACTGTGTGCGTCACATCGGTCTGTATAACAAGCACGGTCGATCCGTCGAAGCGATACACTCGTTCCTATCACGCTGGAAGGCTTGCACGGAGCTCTGTGCCGGCACACAGAAGAGCCGTGCGGCAAGAGAAGAGCTCGATGGGGAGCGAGAACTGCCACGAGAGGTGCTCACCCAGGTTTCGGAAGTCCGCCTTGATGCGGTCAGTTCCCCCCAGGTTTGACCGCGCAGCTCGCAAGACTCGTCGAGCACTCGCAGCCTTTCTGCGCCTCTGACTCTGCAAGCTATGCGGGAAGAGCAGTTTATCCGCAATATATCGACGAGTTCGAGAGAGCCACAGGCTTTCGCTCGGGAGGGATTGAGTGCATCGCGACGGACTTCAGGTTACACCTGAAAATCTGACGCGCCGCGCGCTCGCAATTTTGGACGTTGAGGCTTGAGCTTCCATCTCACTTCTCGGCGCACTCAATGGGGGAGGGAGACGACGGCGCAGCGCGCCAGTGCAGGTGTGACCGACGACGACGGCGCAGGGAGGTGTGACCGAATCTCGAGCTACAACGTACAAGAATAAAGAAAGAGGAACATTTTCAGCGGGAAGGATAGTAGATCTCGATGCACTTGGAGCACTTGGAGTGCAGTCATGAACACACACAGGGCCGAGCAGTTGCGCAAATCTTTTTTTTGACGGCGCCTTTGGTATTGCTAAAAATCTCTCTCTCACCCAGAGATAAAAAACGCTCGGCCCAGAGGTAAGAACCAAATATAGGCAATATTTCGGTGCAGCACTTGAGCACTGGATAGGGTCGATTCCGCATGGTACTTGAGCACTTGAGCACTGGATAGGGAAGCTAATAGGGTCGATTCCGCATGGTACGGGACCCCTCGATCACGCGGCCACTCTTATATAACGACCGACGCGTCATCTCGAACGCACGCCTTCCAGGGGGAACGGGCAAACGGGGCGCGGCAAACGACTTGTTCGACGACGCGATGGGTTCTCAAGAACACAAAAAGAGCGCAACGAGCACGCTTGCGGTTCTCTCGAGTCTCCTCTCCTCCTCTACTCTTGTACAACTCTCTACACTCTACCTTCTCCTGGGAAAGTTATTTAGGAGCACCCCGGTTTCGGACATCGGCGAACGATTGGACGGTGCTTCCAACTGGCCAAATGGAGTCCAGCGATGTGGGACCTCAGTCCCAGAAGCTTGGAGCTTCAGGCCGCGACCACGTGGCTAGGTGGACACTAAAGTGCCATTTTGGCGCCAAATCTTGGCGGGAAATGACACGTGGCTTGGCGGGAGTGTGGTGTGGCTGCGCTGCTCGACAGCGCTGCTGTTGAGCGCCAGCTGCTGCTCCCTTCAGCCAGACGGCCGGGCCTGCGCAGCACGACCGCTGGCCTTCCTCCTGCACCACAGGAGCGCGCCAAGGCGCGCGTCTGGGCAAGCAGTGCGTCTCATCGCGATGCGAGAGTCGACGCTGTGACGCCGCCGCTCGCCGGCTAGAATGACAGTGGCAGCATTCGAGTACGCGTCGAGCTGTGCGTACCAGCACTTGTATGCGAGCTCATTGTGTCCCTGAGCTGCTGTGGGGTGCGTGGGCTCAGCTGCGGAGCACGTACTGGGCGGCGGTAGGGGGGTGCTCCTAAATAACTTTCCCAGGAGAAGGTACACCACAATTTGGCAATCCGCGTCTCTCTCCGGCACCGACTCGTCTCTATGACCTCAGGAGATGGCGCAACACGAGTCCGCGCTCTCCGCCTCGCCCCCCTTCGCCCTCTTGGGCTTCTTCGCCTCCGCCCCGCCCGCCGAGCCGTCGAGGTCGACACAAACCACCGTCACGTCGTCAAAGAGCTTGCCCTTGCGCCGCCAGCTGCGCATCTCGGCCTTCTCCGCCAGCTGCGCGGACGCGTCCGACGCGCTGCTCGCCTTGCGGACGACGGCCGCCGCCTCGGCGTGGCTCACAAAGGCCCACAGCCCGTCGCTCGCGATGAGCACCCGCTCGTGTTGCCCGGGCCCGACGGTGAAGGTGGCGACCTCGGGCTGCGGCGTGAGCCCTCGGCTGGCGTCCCAATCGCCGAGCGAGCGGGTGACGGTCGTGCTGACGGGGACGGAGCTCCCCTTGTACTTTGCGCGCACCGTCAGCGGCCCCCGCCCGTCCGAGTACCGGTGCGCAATATCGGATGGCTCGCGCAGCAGCGCTGCGTGCGGCGCAGCGCGGTCCATCGCCGCCTCGCGCCGCAAGCTCCGCCACAGACTACCCACCTCGCTCATCGACGCTGGCACGCCCGTGACGTAGGCGACGGCGGCGGCCACCTTTGCGCGGGCGGCCAGCGCGCGCGGGCTCGCCGGCGCGGGCGACGAGGCGTCGGTCCGGATCGACGCCTCCCCCGGGAGGAGGGAGGCGGACGACAGGCGGTCGAGGCCCGGCTCGCCCTTCTTCTGCTCGCGGACGGCGAACTCGAGCGCCTTTTGGCCGCGCTCGATTGCCTAAGGAGGGGGGAAGGGCAAGGCGAGCTTGATGCAGGGCAAGGACCAGGACCCCCCCCCCCCCCCTCTCCCCCCCCTTTGCTCCTCCGTGCATCTTGTCCTTGTGAGACAGGAGCCGCACGGCATTCGGCAGTGAGAGGGCCCTCCTTGAGGGTGTGTGTGCGCGTGGGTGCTCGATCGCCTCGTCCAGCGAAGAGCTCGTCGTCGACGACGACCCGCGCCGCATCGTCGACGAGCCGGTCGCCGCAGTCGAGGGCGTTGCTCGAGGGGAGGAAGCAGCAGCTGCGGCAGTCGCGAGTGGGGCACAGCTTGCTGCGGCTGCTGCGGCTGCTGCTGCTGCTGCGGCGGCGGCGGCAGAGCAAGCCACGGGCGTCGCGGCAAAAGCGGGGTCTTGGCTGCCCGTCGGGCGCGGCGTCATCCTCGGCGAGGGGGACGAGCACTCGGACGTCGCGAGCCTGCAGCGCGACAGGCTCCCGAGATGACCCGAGATTACCCGAGATGACCCGAGATTACCCGAGATCTGCAGCGCGGCAGGCTTCCGACTTTCAGGGGGATGGGGTGGGGCCGGTCGCGGGGGGTGGGGTAGGGGGGTAGGGGGGTAGGGGGGTAGGGGGGGGGAAGGGGTAGGGGGGGTAGGGGGGTAGGGGGGTTAGGGGGTTAGGGGGGTATGGGGGTATGGGTGACATATACCTCCAATCCCCTGCCCCCCTGGGGCTCACGCGGACCGTCCCAGGCTCTCCCTCTCGGAGGCTTCTCGGAAGTGTCTGCGCTGGGCGCGGAGGCTGCTCGGAAGTGTGTCGGCGCGCCTGTATGAGTCGCCGAGCAGGGAAGGAGAGGGCGGGCCGCTCATCGAAGGAGGCCGCGCGAGGGTGCGCGGCCGCTGGCTGGAGCGAGAGAGGCGCGTCGACGACGGCGCAGACACGCTCGTCCGCCTGTTCACGGCATGCGGCGTCATCGGTACTAGTAGTTGTCACAGCTGACTGTCCGGGCTGGCGCGCACCGCCAGAGCGTGCCGTCGCTGAGGCAGGAGAGGGCGCGGCGCACGCCCCACAGCCGCCTCAGCCGCGCCTCCTCGTCGGGGTTGGACGGCGCGTGGTCCGCCGTCGCAGCGATCAGCGCCCCGCCCCTGGAACGGCGACCCCCCTTGCGCATATCCACCCGGATGGCGGTGCTGTCCCCCACATGCGCGAGGGCGCAGACGATAGCGCCGTGGTAGGACACGGTGCGGGCGACGCCGGTGCCGGAGCCACATGAAGACTCGCCGTCCGCGGTGCTGTGCGTGCACTCATCCATCTTGCCGCCCGCAGTGCACAGCAGCACTGTCGCCGTCGTGCCGTCTGGCACGCCCGTCTCTCCGAGCATGTTGTCGAGCAGCCAGAAGCGGTCCTCGATCTCGCGCGCTGAAAACGGCGCCCTGACCTCGAGCAGCGCCGGCACCAGCTGCTCGGCCGCAGCCTCGGCGGCTTTCCGCCCACCGTGGCCGTCAAAGACGCCGCAGCATAAGGACTCGCAGCCGATGCGGCAGGAGTGGGTGTCCTCCTTCTTGGCTGTGAGGCGCTGAGCCGAGGCGAAGCTGACGCGGCTCATGTGCCAGAAGGCAAGCAGAGACACAACTCGAGGCGCCGGCGTCCCACACCTCGGCTGCGAACTCGGCGAAGCACGGCGTATCAACGTAACTTTTTCAACTTGTTTTGCTCTGTTCAACTCTTTCCCCGCCATTCGCGCGCTCTCTCCTCTCCCTTCTCTCTCTGTCTCCCGGACCTAGATTTTCTTGTTTATATTACCCAAAAGCTAGGCTCACAACGCCCTCTATGTTGGGTCAAGGCGGGCGCCTAGAAGAAGGCGCCGCCCCCCGAGGAGGAATCCCACCCATACCCCGAGCCCCCGTCGAAGAGCGCGTCGAAAGCGTCGTCGCCTTCGTCGTACTCCTCCGCGTCAAAGCACCGGACCGGCTCCCCCCGGCCGTGCTCCCTTGCCCAGCGCATCTGTGGCGCGCATTTCTTGTTTCGACCACCACCTACACATACTCTCGTGAGCTGTGAACAGACGCACTTGCCTTCGGGCCCAATCCCGCTAGGGTGGGCGTGCTTTCACAGCCTCACGAGAGTAACCTCCGTTCGTTCCCAGCCCACGGCCCGCACCACCCAGCTGGCTACCCCATCGCCCGGCACACCACCCAAAGCGAGCTCGACAAAGCGAGCTCGACTGTCCCACACCGCCCGTCAAAGCGTGCTCCGCATCCGCCCATCTGCGCTCGCCCTGCTGTTGTTGTGCCGCGACGCCGCATCCGACATCAACCTCGGCCACGTCGAGTCTCGAGTCCCAAACAGGCTTCGCGGCGCCGCTTTTGACAACGAAATCCTCACGGCACAGCCGCCGCCGGCCGCACCCTTGGCTCTGAGCTCCTCCTGCGCCGCAATCTTCTTTCGCCACCTCGAGAAGACGGGCGGGCAATCCATCGAGGCGCTGCTGGTACAGGCCGGGTACGAGAAGGTCGAGTCGATCCGCTTCGAGCCCAGCCTGCTCCTGAACGACTCGTACGCCACTGCGCACCCGCGGCTTCTCGTCCACTACCACTCGCCCTTCGAGGCCCACGCGCCCGCGTTCCTCGGCCTGCTGCGCTCGCCCGTCCTGTCGGCGGCACGCGCGGCGCAGGCGCGAAGAGGCTGCCTCCTGCTCACGCTGACGGTTCTGCGTGACCCGGCCTCGCACTACCCGAGCGCCTTCGAGTGCTTCCTGACGCGGAGCGACCTGGTCGTCACTTGGCATGTCCACGACATGTCCCTGACATGCCACTCAGGTATTTCGACGCCGGACGCGCCCTGGTCGGCACCAGGCCGATCCTCGCGCACGCCCCCACCGGCCTGACGCTGCTGCAGTACGCGAGGCGCGAGTTTGAGATGCAGCTCCGGCTGCTGCTGCTGCCTCTCACACTGCGGCGCGCCCCGCGCTTCCGGAGGCGCTGCAGTGCACGAAGGGACGCACCGTGTGCGCCCTCGACCGTGAAGCTGGCCGACTCCCGCGCCTTCTTCGCCAACGCGTCGAGAGCGGCGGAGCTCGCCAACGCCGTGCTCTCGCGCGTCGACGTGGTCGGCGTGGCGAGCCGCTTCGACGTCGATGACTGGACTGGCGAGTTCATGCACCGCTGTTGTGTATAGGTGAGGGTCCCCACTGCTGCCCCTCTGACTATTGCACTTTTGTCTGTGTGGCGATGCCTTTCCCTGAGAACGCACACACCGCCTCGTGTGTAATGCCCCCTGTGTTCCGCGAGTGCGTGTGCCCCGTCTTCCATGCTAGGACGTGTGTAACACTGACTGACTGTTGCGTCTCAGGTCGGCGTGACGAGCCACCTCGACGAGCTGCAGGCGAAACTGCTGTTAGACTGTCCTCATCCTCACACTCCTCATTCAGATCATCGTCTCTCTCTCTCTCTCTCTCTCTCTCTCTCTCTCTCTCTCTCTTTCTCTCTCTCTCTCTCTCTCTCTCTCTCTCTCTCTCTCTCTCTCTCTCTCTCTCTCTCTCTCTCTCTCTCGCTCGCTCGCTCGCTCGCTCGCTCGCTCGCTCGCTCGCTCGCCTTGTTCTATGAGACCATCATCACTACCTTGTTCTGTGAGCGTGTGTCAGCGGGAAGCTCTCGTACCCCAACTCCTCCCGGCCTTGCCTGACGGCACCGTACGCTTGTGTAAGCTTTCTCCTCGACGAGCTGCAGGCCGCTCTGCTGCGGCTGCTCCGCCTGCGGCATCGGCGCGGCAAGCCTCTGCGCCCAGTGCATGCGAATCGCGCCGCCGAGCCGACGAGCAGGGCCGAGGTGGAGCGGCGGGCGGCCGCGGCGATCCAAAACACGCTCGACGAGAGGCGCGGCGTCGGCCGCGCCTGCCCCTCCTCGACGTGTCCACGACACGTCCCTGGCGTCTCCCACAGGCGGCTGGTCGCCGCGGCGCACGCGCTCTACCGGAGCAATGCGAGCAGCGAGGCCGTCGGCCGCGTCTGGCGGCAGGCGCGTGTGATCTCGAGCAATCTCGGGCGACCTCGGGCGACCTCGTGAGAGCTCGGGCGAGAGTACAGACTCCAGGGCGAGAGTACAGACTCCATTTGCTCCACCGACCCGAGGTCTCACGCAATCTCGCGGCAGGCGCGCCGTGCGATTGACTCTGGCCACCACCTGCGCGACGCCGCCTACTCCGCCGCCAAGGCCGCATTCTACGCCGACCTGCGCCAGAACGAGACGGAGGCGGTGCAACAGTGCGGTGATCCGGGGGACGGGGCGGCGGACGCCGCCGCGGCGCGCGACTGTCGATTGCGACACGTGCGCGCGGCGCTGAGCGCGCAGGCGCCGGCATCTCAGCTCGTCTATGAGCACTGGAGGCGGCGATGGGAGGGCCCATCAAACCCCCTGCGGAGCATGCTCCGGCCTGCGGAGCGGCGCGTTGAGGGCGTCCCGACCAGCGCGTAGAGGGTAGAGCCGTAGCAGGCTCTGAATTCGCCCGGCTGGGCGCGACACCGGTGGCAGTGCCACCCAGGAGTGGTCGGGCGGTCTCCCGTCATGAGAGAGCCACCATGTGATCCGTATGATGCTTCCTGACAACCGCCTCAGTCAACTTTCGTCACAGTTCCCGCTCTGAGAGGAGCTGCGGGTCAGTTCGACAGCTGGAGCTGTGTCGCCGGCGTGCGGCGGCCTGCCTCCGGAGGTGTGCCTCTGAGGTGGACATTTCTTGGTCACCGTGAGAGAACGCGTTCGAATTTTCACTCCGGAACTTCAACTCCGCACGCGCACCGGCCAGGGCTACAATAGTGCCAGTGAGGCGGAGGCGCGAGTCGGAAGGCCGCGACCGTCAAGTGTTTTCGTCATTTTCCTACTTTTTGTGAACCTCCAGCCACGTAAGTAAGTCCGGTTAGCCGGGTAAAGCCGTAAGTGCGTGCGCTCGCTAGAGCGTATCTCTCTACGGCTTTAGTCACCCGCACCGATGAAGATGCGCGCGCGTTCCTATTGCTTGGATGGAAAATGTCTTCGAGATGGCGCAAGCACTTCCTCCCATAGACCGGAGCCTACGCGTTCTCTCTGTTCGTGGTGCGCTCTTTTGGTCCGCGCGGCCCGGGCCAGATCCCATCAGGCAAGAAGATCACGCAAACGCTGTCCTTGCCTCTGAACAGCTGCGTCGCCCGGGTGCGCCTGCATAGCCCCTACCGCCGCCTCGATCGCGCCCACAGTCACAGCTCGCTGCCTCCGCGCCCGCGCTGCGGCGTCGGTGCCAGAGCACACGTTGCCCAGCGCCCGGCAGCCATAATCCTGCACACCCGCCATCTGCGGGTGCGCCTGCAGCGCCGCCACGATCGCCTCGATCGCGCCCGCGTCTGCAGCGCGCTGCTTGCGTGCGAGCCCTGCGGCGTCGGTGCCGACACACACGTTGACCATCGCCGAGCAGCCAAACTGCTGCACGCCCGCCACTAGCGGGTGCGCCTGTAGCGCCGCCACGATCGCCTCAATGCCGCCCACGTTTGCTGCGCGCTGCTTGCGTGCAGGCGCTGCGGCGTCGGTGCCGAGACACACGTTGCCCAGTGCGCAGCAGCCATTCAGCTGCACAACCGCCACCTGCGGGTGCGCCTGCAGCGCCGCCACAGCCACCTCGATGCCGCCCGCGTCTGTTGCGCGCTGCTTGCGTGCGAGCCCTGCGGCGTCGCTGCCGAAGCACACGCTGCCCATCGCCATGCAGCCACCCAGCTGCACGCCCGCCACCTGCGGGTGCGCCTGCAGCGCCGCCACGATCGCCTCGAGCGCGCCTGCCTCCGCCGCGGGTTGCTTGTTCTGCGCCTCTTGGCACAGATTGACCAACCGCCTGCAAGCCGCAAGCGCGACGCGACTGACCGACCCGTGCGCCCGCAGCGCCGCCACCGCTGCCGCCACGTCCATCGCCAGCACCTCCGCGTCGCTCGGTGGCGCAGCGGCGGGGACATGAGCAGCAGAGCCGCTGCCACTGCCGCCGCCGCCACCGCCGCCGCCGCTCGGCGCAGCGTGGCGCTGCCGCTTGGGTGCCGGGCCAGCGCTCGCACTCCCCTCGGTCGAGTTCTTGCGCACGGACGTCACCACCTCGGCCCCCATCTCCATCTCGACCTCGATCACGTACGCCGGGTACATCTGGCGCGACTCGTACACCACGTGTATGAAGGAGGCGTCGCACCCGTTCTCACCTCCGCCGGAGACGAAGGGGCGGTGCGGCCCGCCGCGCACGCTGTCGTAGAGGAGTCGGGGAGGGCCCTCGACGCGCACGTCCGGCATGCGCATCGCCCTCGTCTCCGCGCTGATGCGCTGCCCCATCTCCTGCTGTGAGCCGAGGGCAGCCTTCACGATGAGCAGCTGCACGCGGCTCCCGCCCGAGCCGGAGATGCGGTGCGCGTACCGGCCGCCGATCGGGTACGACGGGTCCTCCGCCAGGTAGATGCCCTGGCCGTAAAAGCCGCCGTTCGAGAAGCGCGGGTCGAGCCCGTTCTGATGCGCGAGCACATCCTCCGCCGCCCGCTCCGCCGTGCCGTGGAAGAGGAGCATCTCGTTGACGTCGCCGCCAGCGCAGATGTGGACGAGTGATTTGTCGCGATAGTCAGCGTACTCGCGCCACAACTTCTTGTTCTGCACGCGCTGCACGCGGCTCAGCCTTGCGCTCGGGCAGCTCCGCGCCAGCAGCGTCTTGATGAGGAGCGCCTCGTTGCTCTGCATCGAGAGCGGGACGAGCTTCGACTCGGTCGGGCCGCCGTCCCCGCCGCCGGCGCCCCACTCGTCGGGGAACGTCATCGGCAACGGGCGCGAGAGGGGAGGGGGCGCAGGGGAGGGGGCGCAGCCTGCGGAATTCTTTTCTGGAGAGCTCGGCGGGAATTCATTTATCTGTAGTGGAAGAAACACGCGCGGAAGTTTCTCGGCCTAACCCCGCCGCTCTCGCGGCCGACTTGCGGCGTGGGGTTGCTGCTCAGGTCGTCGCTAACACTGCCGAACCACGCTTACGCCACGTCCACAAATGCTGGCTCGGCGCACCGTCGTCTGGCGGCTGGCAGCAGCCGCTGGGCCTCGATGCCGCGCGCACAGCAGCACGCGGCTGAGCGTGGACGCGTCGCTCGCCGTCATGGGCCTGAGCCATGGCGCATCGCCAACCGCGGTCAAGCTGCGCTTCTACGAGCTGGCGAAGCTCACCCACCCTGACGCCGTGCGGGACGCGCCTCCTACGGCGGGCCAGCCCACATTCGTCGAGGTGCTCTCGGCCTTCGAAGTGCTCGTGGCGGAGGAGGCGGCGGCGGCGGCCAGTGCGGGCGCAACTGCGCCGAACGCCGCGGCGCGGGGCGGCGCCGGTCCGGCGCGCCGCACGAGCCGGGCGGCCGCGGCGCGTCGCAAGAAGACGCTGTCCGAGGTGCTGTGCGAGCGCCTCGAGGAGGAGCCGTCGGCGGCGATGGCGGTCTGGACGGACCTCAAGCAGCGAGAGCTGCCCCTCAACGAGGGGACGATGGACCTGCTCTTCCGCGCGTGCGCCCGCTCGGGCGGGGGGCTGCCCGCCGCCGCCGCGGGTGATGTCCGGGACACGTCCTGTGACATGTCGACACCTCCCACAGGTGGACTGCCCGCCGCCGAGGTGGTGATGCGGGAGGCTGTCGGCCTGCTGACGCCGAGTGTGCGCGCGGCGGCCCTCGTTTTTCTAGATGCGGAGGACAGACCCGTGTATTCCGACCAGCGCAGTCGCGCACGCGTACGCTGCTGAGTGTTCGGCAGCGTCCGCTCTTTCCCTAGCCCTCGTACTCACGCGGTGCTCCGAGGATACACTGCACGAGACCGTCTTCGCACCCGGCCCGGGTGTCGTGACGCAGGCCCTCGTCTCGCTGATCAAGTGGTGCAAAGAGGACAAGTCTTCGTTCGAGAAGATAATGAATCTCGTCGACGAGGCGGAGCGTACGCCCGAGGAGATGGAGTACATGTCGTACGCGAACTTTCTGTATAGTGGGGTGGACGGGTACTCGAAGTGATTGCGGTGTTTACGCTCCAAAGAGAATTGTAAGTGTATTCAAACTGCCCAGAGGGCCAGACACCAGTGATCCGTGATCGACCCCTTGTGGCCTTCGGGGTTCTAATCATTGATCTCTGAGACACAGCCGAGGCAGTTCCTCCAACTCTTCGACGCTCAACAAAGACGCGTGCGGCGACGCCGCACGAGTGCCTGCGATGCTCAAGGTTCACAGCCCTGAGAGGAAGAAGCGGGGCGACTGCACAGATACGGCTTTATCGGGTTCGTTGATGCGTATCGACGAGATTATCTTGCGCAGCAGCTCGGCATCGAGGCTGGCATACGAGCTCGCTCAACCACGGGATTGGCCTGCGCCATATGTGAGTTGGCGTATACTCGCATAATGTGGGTAAACGAAAGTAGCGTGTACGCTACTATGAATGAAGACGCCGAAAAAGGCGGCGGAGTCAGTCCGCCCGAGCCAGCCAGCTGCCGGCTCGCACGGCAGCCTCTTCCTCTCGACCAGCCTCAACTTCCATACAGTCAACATTTTGTCGCTGCGTGCTCGTGGTGAGCTGTGGCGGCGGTCGAAGTTCGCCCAGGTTCGGTGACGAGCGCCAGACGATAGTAGTGTCTCTGTTCGCCCTGTGCATGTCAGGCCAGGCTGCAGCAGGGCACTACCATCGTGCTGCCCTGAGGGCAGCCTGACTTTGCCCACTATGCACAGTCGCCAGAGCACCACCAACGCCCGGCATCGTGTCACGGCGAGCTCCTTCTGCGCCCGCTCGCGAGGCTCTCGCGCTGGCACACTTTGGCCATCTGCTGCTCGCGTTCGGCGAGCTCATCTCCGCACTCCTGCCACGGTGCCGTCACCACACCTTCTGGCCGGCCTGAGCCGCGCGGGGTCGCCGGCGGGGGCAACGCGTCGACCTCTCTCTCTCTGGTGCACCACGGGCCGCGACGGCTGCTGGCAGCAGGCACGAAGAGGCAGTGTGCCGGCACAGTCGAGCCGGAGCATCGGGTTCTTGATGCTTATGGGGTCAAGTCTGACCTTATGCGGCCTAATATGCAATAATAATGCTATGCTCTCACCCAGTCTTTTGAGATATGATCCCTCAAAGTCGAACTTTCGTTTACTGGTGACCATAGTAGCGTCTGTCCTGTTTTGCGTTTCTTCAAACGAATACACTTTAAAGTCTCAACAATCACTAAGCTGCTTATGTGGCACCGCAGAGGCTCCCTTGGGGATGCCTTGCTTATGTGGCACCGCAGAGGCTCCCTTGGGGATGCCTGAGGCCACCCCAACCACTCACTAAGCCGTACGTGGACGAATTTAAATCTACTTTTTTCGTTTACCCACATTAGGCGAGTAGGTAAAACCCCGGACGAATGAAAAAAACGAATGGAAAGAATTTGAAAAATCTCATGCAGCAGAGCCGAGCCGCAAGAGTGGCATCACTTGTTTGCCAACAACAACCCAAACCGAGGGATAACTAGGACGTGCCTCCCCGTGTCTGTAGCCTGGCGTTTGTGCCCCGTTTGTGCCGCGTCCCGTGCCCCCGAGTTCATTTTATTATTTAACCGAGGGATAGTGTCTCTTGAGCACTTGAGCACTGGATAGGGCCGATTCCGCGTGGTACGGGACCCCTCGATCGTCTCGCCCTCCCTCACTGGTATGTTCATTGGGGGGGGTCATAACAAACACGGTACAGGATCGAGGTGCACGCTGCCGAAGCAGTGTCGTCCCCCCTCTCCCCGACGGCGATGGCGGTGTGACCGATCGAGCTACAAGAGGAGCTTGGTCAGCAGGATCCGGGATAGTCTGATGCACTACCTCACTGGGCCTGAGATCACCGAGACGCACCCGTCACCGTCTCGGATTCATGTGGGATCGAACCACTCCGGGATGGGCAAGCCCATCGTTCTCATTGAGAGCTGTGCCTTCCTATCACCTTGTTAATTGTCAAAATTCCTGTTGTGCAAGAGGGGAGGGGGCTCTGACGGAGTGCGTGGCGGGAGAGGGCAGGGAGTGGGCGCGGGGGAGGGGGGGGGGGGGGCTCAGCCGTGCAAAAAGCATCAACTAATAATAGTAAGGAAGACATGTTGCCCGGCCGTTCAAGAAGTCCGTCTCGATTTTCGTTTTTTTTCCCCACAGACCACTCGGGCAACTTTTACGAAAGGCAAAGTTTTACTTGACCACTCGGGCAGATTCGATTGCATTTTACCACTCGGGCAAACTCGATGAAACGGGCGGACGGAAACGCGTTTGCGACGGCTCGCCGGAGAGCATGCATGGAGCGGCCGGTGCGCCGCCGCAGCTCACCGATGGAGCCTGCGTCGCGGCTCAATCCATTGGCGTAGCAGCACCGCGACACACTCTCCAAGCACGGCCTCTGGCGTTGCGATTGCACAGAGAGCGAGCAATAGGCGCCAAAAGCACAGATCTGTGTGCAGTGGATTTCCATGTAGGTCGCGCCCGGCGAGCGGACAACCGCGGGTCTCGGATGCTCTCCCGGACGCGAGCCCATCGTGCGAGTGGCGGACCCGGAGGCGGCCGGCCCAGCTCACCCCCAGAGAGGCCATGGCCAGGGTCAGGCATAGAAGGGGGGGTGTTTTTCCGTCCGTCTGGTGTTCTTCGTTATAAAGGTCACGACTCGCTGACGGTGTGTTCGAATAAAATATAGGCGGCTCCCGTGCTGCACAATTACATGCACATGCACATGCACATGCACATGCACATGCACCTGTTAGTGCCAGTGCGCGCCAGGGAAAAGGTGTAGGCGTAAAACAGGATGTGCAACCACCCAACTGCCACGTACTCGAGTACTTGCGCGGCAAAGGAGCACAACGCACGTCCAATCTCTATACCGGCACGCCAGCGCTCTATATTGCGATTATGCTGGCAAACGTCCTGGACAAGCCCAAGACGGCGACGACTCCCTCGAAGGTGGACATTGAGAGCCGTGGCTCTGACCGCACTACCCGCGCGGGGTGCTCGTGCTGCTCAAGGAAGCGAGCGCCCGCGGGGCAGGCATGCTCTGTACCGTCTGCAACAAAAGAGGAGGAGAGGGATACGACGACAACGGGCGAATGCTACCTCTGCTACGACTCAAAGCGCGGCGATCCTGAGCCGCTCGTGCGCGGCGTCTGCGCCTGCAAGCACACGGCCATGCACCTCGCTTGCCAGCGCAGGATGATTGAGATGGCCGAGGAGGCCGGCAAGCCGAACCCGATGCAGTGCTCGGTGTGTCAAGTGAAGTTCTCTAACGCGGAGGTCGCCGTGGGGCGCCTCAGGCTCACACGCCCAGGTGCAATCTCTCTCCTTCTTGTTGCCGGATTCCTGGTTCTTCTCGTGTGCATCATTGCGGCGCTCTGGCCAAGGGAGAGGGAGGGCGAGGGGTGGTGGGATCGAGCGACGGGCAGCACTGAGGACGCGCCGTCCCACGGGGCGGACCCGCTGCTCAACTTCTTCGCCCTGCTCACTCTCCGACTCACCCTCATTGGCGCATGCGGAATCGGCCTTTGGGCTGTCATGACGTGGCTGGCGATGTCCCTGTCCTCGGGCACGTTTGGCGAGGCGCGGCAGCGGCCCGACGCCGCCGGTCTCGGCCTCTTCCTGCAGCCTACGTTTTATAGGGCGCGGGAGACCCGCGTCTGGCAGCCCGCGGCCGCATAAAGCCGCTCGTGCTGGGCGCCGTGGGACCTCGTGGTGGTGGTCTCTGTTGCGCGCTACGCGCTCTCTGAAAATTAGCTCTCCGTGACTCGCTGCGTTGCTTGTTCCGTGTTTAAATCCCTCTCACGTGGTGGCGGCCTGTCGTGCGAGCGGGAACCTTCCGTTTTCACTTTCTCTGTCTTAGTTTCATTGTTCCCCGTGTTGATTACATTTGTGTGCGCAACACGTCAGGGGCATCACAGAGACGCTCCCTTTGTTCTCGCCTCATGAAGTCGGAGGGTCGTCGGGGGACTTCGTGAACTGAAGCAACCCAACCAATTTTCATAAAGGGAGTGGCCTCTGCATCAGACTGCAGTCCGTCCCTCCTGAGAGCTGAGTTGAGTGATCAGTGAATTCTCTGGTAGAACGGGTACGAGATGTATATGTAGGGAGTATTCGCAAAGAGGAGCCCCGCGCACGCACGACTCCGCAGGAGAAACCCCTCCCGCCCGTGCTTGCGCAGCGCAGCCTCCTCTCACAGAAAGACTGCGGCCGCCAGCAACTGAGCGTCTCGCTGGCGGACGGGGAGAACACAACGAAGGGACGTCCGAAACGCACAAGAAGGGACGCACGCACGTGTCCATCACCGGGATGAGATCGGGAGATTACACACATCTGCCGAATTCTCCCGCTGGCATAGTTGTTTGTCGCCGATCTGCAGCGGTTAGACGCCTCTCGCGGTAGCCGCCCATCGGAGCGCCGCCTCGCCGGGGTCTCGGCTCTGACGAGCCATGCTAGCTCCGGCCCCGCAGCCCCGCCCAGCCGCCCTTAGTTCGTCCCCTCAGTAGAGAGGACTAATCCTGGGGGAAGCAACCGACTGAGAAGACAGGCTCTGAGCGGATAGAGGTGTGAAGGCGAATACAGTCCGACCAACGACTGGGACACAACGCGGTCTGGGTGGACGCAAGACGGGCGGTGACGATCACACAGCGTCCACCAAGTAGACTCCAAATTTACACCCACACAAAACTCTCTGTCATCCGCACGACACCGGCCAGGCAAGCGTCTGTGCCGGGAACCTGCGCGCGCTAGCTAGGTAGATATGGACCTAGATTCTCTTCCGTGCCTGCACACCTGCCGGGCAATACACGTCACGAGGCTAATCGGGGAGCGGGGAGCCACCGCCAGCGAGCCGCGAGCCTTGCGAGTAGCTAGCCACCGTGTTGCGCGTCGCCCCGCGGGCGCGATCGCCCTCAGTCACCCGCCTAAGCTGAAAGGCTCTGTGGCCTCACATTGCCAGTTTCAGCGTGTACACCGCCAGGCCGAGCGCGGCGAAGAAGAATCCGTCAAAGGCCATCGTGCGCGGTTCGGAGCCGCTGATCGGCCAGGTCAGGAAGAGGAGGGTGTGGAGCACGCGGCTGTACGTGGCGATGATCGCGAGCGTCTTCACGAGCTCCGTCTCGTCCTCAGCCAGCACCACTCCCTTCTTGCTAACCTCGCCCGGGCTGGCGACCGCCATCGCCGCAAACATTAGGCCGATTAGGAAGGGCTCAAATTCCTTGTTATTGTTGACGCAGCGCTCGATGCGCTCGACGGCGGATGACCCGGCCAGCGCGGGCGCCCACTCGTATGCGATCAAGGGTGGCTTGAACAGCTGCAGAAGCACGTTTGCACTCTCCGTCTTGTTGGCGAATCCTTTCTCACCCGTCGCCAGTCGGGCACGCACGGCGAGCAGGCCGAGCACAAACGCCTTGATGGTGAGGACGACAGTGCAAACGGCCACGACCTGTGGCAGCGACTTGGTAGTACCTTGCTGCGCGACGCCGTAGATCGAGCCGTAAATCGCAATGGCCCAAGCCAGCAGCGACATCATTAGCCGGCGCTTGGGCGATGGGGTTGAGTGCGAGGCGTGATCCGAGGATCTCGCCCGGCTCTGCACCCGAGGGTTTTACCAAGCTGCCAACCCACTCCGGGCCCTGGGTTGGTTGGGTGGTCCCCCACTCTGCGCACTCCAGGCCTCCAGATGTTGGTTGGTTGGTCCCGCACTCTCCGCACACATATTGTCTATTACACACATAACCACAAACCAGACAGCCCCTGCCCCCTCCCGACGGGGACGCCACCACCCTCGCCCAGGCAGGGATCTACTCGAGTACAATGCTGTCTTAAGGTCCGACAGGTTCGGCACCGGGCACCGCCTCGGTATACAAAATGCGCCTGCGGGCGGACCCTTACAGATCACAGATCATTACACACATAACCGTTTTTACACAGCCTTGTCCTTATACGTGGCAAGCACCGAGGCAATTGCTGCCTTCGCTGTTGCCTTAGCCCTCTCGGCAATGGGGTCGTGAGCCGCCGTCACCGCAAGCGCAGCGCGCACGAACCGCCACGGGCTGCCGCGAGGCCCGGCGCGCGGTAGGCCGATCACTGAGGCAGTCGTTGCGTCCAGTGCGCAGTGGTGCGCCAGGTCCGATGAGGTCGCAAAGCACGGGCATCGTGGGCGCCCAGCCTTAGGTCACTCGCAGATCTCGCGGCCCGCGCGACACTCTCGCAGATCTCGCGGCCAGCGGACACTTCCGAGAGATTTCTTCGTGCTTTCACAGGGGGGGGGGGGGGGCTGGTTGGCTGGTCCCGCACTTCGCGCACTCGGGCCCGGAAACAGTTGGTTGGTTGGTGTGGTCTTTTGCGCACTGTGCGTGAATAGGGTTGGCAGCTTGGTAAAACCCTCGGGTGCTGTGATCTGTGATCTGTGAGGGTCCGCCCGCCCGGCTCTGCTGAGGGGAGGGGAAGGTCGACTGGGCCGGTCGCTCGACCCGATTCTACTCTACTATCAGTCTTACCATTCATGGACAATACTATCAGTCTTACCATTCATGGACAATAGTGTCTGTCTTTTTAGCAATCAATACCAAACAAGTGTTTTGTTAGTGTCTGTGACGGCGGTGACATTCACACCGAGGTCAGTTCACAGCCGAGCAGCCGATCCTGACACGCTCCACTTAGGGTCCGTTTTGTGGACGAGGCTACGCCAATTCGACCAATTCGTTCGAACCACCTCGGCCGAGGCCGCTGCCGCGGCCCCCCCCCGCGCCTACGGGGCGCCCCGGGGCGCTCAGATGGCCCTCGCCGCCCCCGCCCCCCTCCCCGCCGCCGGCGCGGCGCCCCGATCGCGCGTCGTTATCACCGAAGAGCTCGGAGACGTTCTCGTGACGCCTGTCGGTCCCGGCGAGGCCATGTTGGGAGAGAGAGAGAATGTTGGTGAGAGCCGTGGCGGGTGCCGGCAAAAGCACCATGCTGGAGTTGCGGGCTCGGAGGAACCCCTCCCAGCAGTTCCTCTACTTGGCGTACAATGATTCGGTGGCGGAGGAGATGTCTCAGAGGTTTGCCGACCTGCCGAATGTCACCGTGCTGACACTGCATGCCCTTGCGTATGCCCACGACATCTTCCTTGGCCTGTCTTGCTTTCTTTCCTTTCCTGGAGAGATGGGCGACGCACGAACCCGAGAGAGATTGTCGAACCCGAGGCACAGCGCGCACCCCGCCCCGCTCGCAGGGTGCAATTCCACGTAAATTCTTTTTTGAGCGAGAACGCGCAAGCGCCGCGCGCGACCTTCATGAAGACCAGGCACGCCCCCGTCTCGGATGACGATGACGACGCTCCTCCCGAGGCGATCTCGCTCTCGAGCGGCAAGGCCGCCGCGCTCGAGCGCGCCGCCGCGTCGCGCGGCGCCGCTGGCAGCAGCAGCGCGCGGCAGCAGCAGCGTGCTGTGGCAGAGAGGGAGTCGCGGCTCATCGGGCAGGGGCTGCGCGACACGCTGCCCGCCGAGCTGCTGGCCGAGCTCCCGCCAGCGGCGCCGCTCGTCGCGCCGCAGAAAGCCGCCGCGGGCGGCGGCGGCGAGGCGCCCGCGGCGAGGCCGCGGAAGACGTGGCCGGCCGCCGCGGCCGCCAAGCAGCGGCGTGCGGCAGCGGCGGCGGCGCGGCGCTCCGCCGGGCTGGGCAAGCTGGTGCGCGAGGCTGGCAACGTCGAGTACTCGCTCCCGCCGCCGCCGGGCGCGCCGCGCGGCGCGGTGTCCGACAAGGTTCGCGCGTTTGCCGCCGAGGCGATGATGGGGCGCGGGCGGGTGAAACGCGCGCCCGCGGCGGGGATCGGCTCGCTCAAGCCGCACGGCGGGCGGCTGGGGCCCGGCTTCGCGCCGGCGCGCAACTTTGCCACCGCCGAGGCGCGCACCTCCCCGGCACAGTCTTGCGCCCCACTCCCCCTCTCCTGCCACGCGCCGCATCCACGCGCCCGCTCGTGACCCGCCTCCGCGACCCGCCCCCGCCTCGCCCCCGCCCCCTCAACCCCCCCTCCCCCTCAACCCCCCCTCCCTCCCTCCCCCCTCCCCTCCTCCCCCCTCCCTCCCTCCACCCTCCCACTATCCCCCCCCCCTCCCCCCCCCTTCCCCGCAGGCCGATCCAGAGCAGTCGTCTGGTCCAAGCAAGGCCAGTCGGCGCCGGAAGCGGCGCGCTCAGCCCGTGGTCATCTCAGCTACGCCGACGGCGCTCGAGCGGCGGGCGGCCAAGCTGATGCGCGGCTAGGTCTTTCTTGGCAGAGGGCCTCGTTTCATTGGTACGTAAGCGGCCGTGCGACCGCGTGTGCGAGATGACAGATGTATGTGTGTGTGGTGGTGGTGTGAGCGCGAGATAGAGAGTAAGCGAATTTTCGTCGCTCAAACAAACAAATAATCAGACCTCATTGAACATGTCGTCGTGCCATGCGCTTTGGCCGGCCAACTCCGGCGAGAAAGCCGCGCGCGGAGAGCGGAGACACCCACCTCGAGCTCCGCGAGGTGGTGTCTGGTTGACTGTGTGCTGTTCCCCGAGATCCGACGAGGTTGAGACGAGACTCGAGAGACGTCCGAGCGCGAGCCTCAGCCTGCGCTGGGCCTGGGGCGCGCGAGGCGGCAGGTGCGGCCCGCACTGGCGCGTGGCGGGAGAGGGCGCGCATCCGCCCGCATGAATACATCCTAGGTCCTAGCCCCCCGCCCCCCCGCGCGCTCAAACCCAGAGCGCCCCCGGAACGCATGAACAGCCAACGTACGGTACACAGCAAGCTCCCCCTGGCCCTACGCCCTGCGCGAACGTCGAGGCGCGAATGAGACCGTCGGCTCCCCGCTCCCTGGTGCCGCAAAGGAAGAGCAGCGAGAGAGCTCCTCCCTGCTCATCGGCTCTCGCCATCGACCGCCGATGCGCTGGCACCGCCAAAGGCAAGCAGCGATTTCACTGGACTCTGCAGACGCGAGAGGCGGGCACAGGGGTAAGCACAGGGCGCACGGCGGCCATGCCGCGCGGCGAGGCGTGACGGCCGGGGCTCTCACTAGGGCGGCTAGGGGTAGGGGGAAGGGCCTGGAGCGACATCGCGTCGAAGCGCGAGAATTTGAAGTGCGTCGCGTACGGGGAGTCCATCTCGTACATGGCGGCGGTCCCCTCGATCGCGCCCTCGGCCATCGCAGAGGTGGCAAAGCGTCCCGCGTGCGGGTAGCGGTCCACCTTGCCGTGCCGTGCGACCTGCCGGGGCCCGCGGAGGCTTTTCGTGCTGGGAGGGGCGGAGGAGGGGCGAGGGGGTTGTGACACGGGCGCGCGGGGAGGCCGACCGGCGAGGTGAAAGACTGGCCAAAGATGCCGTGAGGCAGGTAGCGCGCCGCATAGTCCCCCCAAACGTTGAAGCTCACGTCCACGCGATGCTCTGGCCCGGTCGTTGCGTACGTGCGGCCGCCGCGGGCGACGATGCTCCAGTTACCGGCCGCGATGTTGGCGGTCGCCATCTCGATGCTGATGGAAAGGTCGTCGCACGACCGGCGCCCGCCTCTGCCCAGTTTGAAAAAGTGGCCGCCGCAGAAGCCAGAGACCTGAGGCAGCCGCTCTTGGATGAGGACAGCGGGCGGCGGGGGCCGTGCTGGGCGTGGTGCGTGGCGCCCTTGCGCCTCCTGCGCGTGTGGCGACGTGCGCGCTGTGCGTGCATCTAGGCTCGAACGATGCGCCAGCCCCAGTTGTTTTCGGTGAGCTCCGTCGCCCAGTAGGAGAGGTTTGCCCACTTGCGCTTGTCGCCGCCGACTGACGCGACGAGGTGCATCTCGGTGAGGAAGGAGCCGTCGACCGTCAGCGTCGTACCGTCAGGCCGCCGCACCGGGAAGGTGGCGTCCTCCGTCTTGAGGTTCACCGACAGGCCGGGCGCCGAGAAGAAGTTGTAGAGGCGGCCGTTGCGCCCGCGAAAGTCGGCCAAGCCTCCGTGCGCCAGATGCAAGTGCGGGTCCTTGAGGACTACATTCCTCGGCGACGGCGGCGGCGAGGGGGGAGACGGCGGGAGGGAGGGAGGGAACGCCTGGAACAGGTCGTAGCTGTAGGCGCCACTGAACGGATTATAGCTTCCTCCGTCGACGTCAGTGTTATCGAGCACCGCTGCGGCGCTCCCAGTGTCCCGCACTGACGGAGACCCTGCACGGCCGTCAATCAACCCCCCCCCTGCACAGAGAGGGCCGTGCAGGCCGGCGGTCTCCGTGTCCCCGTAAAAGCTCATTCTGGGTAGATGGGACAGAGGGCGCGGTGGGGAACCGATAGGCGTCGATAAATACGTTGGGAATTTATCATTGGCCCGCAGGCTGAACGTACCCAGATAGATGGCGTATCCCTCAATGTTCCCATCTGCGCCATAGATTGCGTGGTCCTCGTCCATGGGGAAGACGGCATCCTCGGTGGTCTTGTATTGCATACAGAGCCCGTCGTAGCCCGGATAACTGAATTCAGAGTCTCCAGGCTTTACAGACGAATTCGAGCACTCTTCAAGTCTAGGCTTATTTCCGTCTTCAAAGTGCATGAAGTATTTTCCCTCGAATTGCTTTCTGCCATAGGACTTCCAGTATGGGTACCATTGAAACGTTGACGCATTCCACACCGGGTATCTCGCGCAGTTCTCCGGTTGACCCTCTACATCTATGTTGGTGGCGCACTCCAGCCTTATCAGGAGGGTGTGATTTTTATCAAGCGTCGCGTTCGTGACTTCACCCGTCGATATCAGCTCGATCCTGTTTACAAGGCCAAGCGCCCAATAGTACCGCTCCCCAGGACGGTATTCGTCCGGGTTGAGGTCCGAGGTGCAGTTGAAGTCCTTGCAGCCGCTTATTTTGACCTCGCCAGCTCCGGTGCAGTCGCGTGGATCGGGACCTATGGCGCCGACTCTCCCCCCCCCGGACATGCCTCGGCCGAGCGCTCCTGCAACGAGTTGCTCTTGCGTAGCAAACTTCACGAGTACGCAACTCTGGAGAGCAATGTCAGAACTCGTTGCCGATAGGACGCGACGACGCGCGTTCGTTCGAAACGCGTGTTGGTCTTGGCGGGGGGGCGGGCATCTCGGAAAGGGAGATTGTTGTTTATTAAAATGAACTCGGGGGCACGGGACGCGGCACAAACGGGGCACAAACGCCAGCCAGGCTACAAAGACGGGGAGGCACGTAGTTAGTGACGCAGGGGAGTCTAGGCGACGGCGTTGTTGTTTATTCGGTGTGTAAAAGTAAAATCTCTCTAAAAGTAAGAAGGAAATAAGGAGAACCAACGAACGACTGTCTGTCACTGGCTGGGACAACAGCGCGGAATGCGTGGACGGGGACGACGGTCACACTGTGGAGCCGCGACAGCAGATCCGACTCACAACACTCAGCCAACTGGCCTGCAGAACTGGAAGCTGGAAAAGAAATCGATCGAAGCCGGGATATCTTTAAACAAAAAGCGGCGGACAGCGCGCCGTGACCATCGCAATCGTGGTACCGCCATTGCAAGCACGGTGGGGCGGCTCAGGGCGCTGATTGTAAGCTCCACACGATGCTCGCCACATTCGTGCTGAGTGTTGAGGCGTCCTCCTGGTCGCTCGACTGTGCGCGCCTCGACGTGTTCGAGGAGGCGTCCTCCTGACCTCTTGCGCTGCAGAGAGCTCTCCGTTCGCTCGACGTGACACACGTGACCTCACTCTCGCAGGTGCACGCCGAGAGCGGCGAGGTCAACCGGTACAGCCGCTGCCTCTCGCGGACCACAACCGCGCTGGTGCCCGTCTTCGTTCAAGGAGACCAGCCTCACGCGCCAAAGCCTGCGGTGTGCGTTTCCGGCCCTGTGAGGTCTTGTCCCTCGCCAGACCCTCCTCTCGTGTCGCAGGTGCTCCAGCTGACCACGGCGAGCTTCTCCGAGCCTGAGCCGTGGCTTGCAGCCGGGAGCTACCACACACCACCTCAGCCCCACACCACGCCCCTCTCGGTGCAAAAGGCCCTGCCCCAGTCGTCCGATTCGGCAGAGCTTCCGTCGGTCGACACCCTCCTGCTCATCGTCCGAGTGATCATAAGGACCGCCGCCGGCGACTTGGATCCCGAGTGCGACGAGGCATGCGCCAGCGCGTATGTGACACCCGCAGCCTTTGCCGGAGCGTCAATCGTGTACCTATTCTCCCTCTGCTTGCGGTCGGCGTTGATGGCTTCTCTGTTGGCCTTGCAGGTGAGACGAGCGCGGTCACCAGCGTCGTGCAGCAGGAGGAGGCTGGAAGCGCCACAGGCTGCCCCGTCGATCGGCTCATGATGGACGCTGACCAGGCCCTACGCGATGAAAACTCACTCGAGCCGCTCCACGCGTCGCACCGGGTCTACTTACTGCCCGTCGACTTTGGCACCTCCTGCGCGTTTACCGCGCTGGCAAACACGGCCTGCGCCGGCGCCGGCTGCGTCGCCTTTCTGCGTGACGTCAGACCCAAAGGATGCCGACGGCAGCCACCCCTCTGCCACCTGCTCACGAGGAGGTCGTGTCGGCTCCAGGCTCGCTCCTCGTCGATGATGCTGGCCGCGCAGATCTGGGCCGTCGAGGCGGCCTCGCAGGTGGCCGAGCCAAGTCAGCCCGACGACCGCTTCGAGCCGCAAACAACGAGTTGCCGCCTCAAAGTCGCTGGTGCGCCGCCCCTGCCCGGCCGTGACACGCCCGCGTGTGCATGTCCCGTAGCAGCCGGCGGGGAGCCCGCGGCGTTTTCGGGGCGAGACGTCGACTCGCTGCTAGACGCCCTCTTGAGCCTGATCTCCGACCCGGCCCTCTCCAACCTGCTGAGTGTCGTCGTGCGTGCGCTCCTCACTCGACTTGCCACCCTGCCCCGCATGGCCTCCGAGCGCTTGGCGGAAAGTCTCGTCCTCGTGCCCGACCCTCTCGCGTTTGCCGCCGCAAACGCCTACCGCCACTGCGCCGGTGAAGTCGCCAAGCCCCTGCGCCAGTCACTACTTCCACGCCCGCCATAGGTCTCTGCACCTTGCGCGAACCCCTTGTCGTGGGAGCAGTGGGTCTACCTTCTCTCCGCCGCCAGCAACTTCGCGAGCGCCGCCCAGGCGGCCCCCAATCCTTAGACCGAGGCGGCGGGAGTAGGTCGCGTCTCACCCGCATGCCGCGCCTTCTTGGCAGGCGCAAGCGGAGGCAGAGCAGCAGACCTCCGACGCAAAGTTTTACGGCATCCTTGCGGCAGTCGGCCTCGCCTGCTTTGCCATCGGCTGGCTGGTCAGCAACGCCGCTCACAAGTGCGCTTCCCCTCCCGCCCCCCCTGGGGTTTCGGAAAGGATGGGGTATACCGGGTTCAGGGGCCCCAGCCGGCCTATCGCCCCGATCCCGCAATTGGGCGCCGGGGGTGCCCCCCCCCTGGTCTCCCCCCCCAGGAGTGTACTCCCCCCCCCCCCCCCCACACACCACCCACGCACGCACGCACGCACGCACACACACACACACACACACACACACACACACACACCACCACCACCACCACCACCACCACCCGACGAGCCGTGCCCCGCCTTCCTCCTGCAGGCAAGGAGCAAGAGGCTTGCCGCACCTCGTCCTACCAGCACCGCGCAGACCTCTAGAGCGACTTGCGAGCTCTCGGTCCCGCGCGGGCAACAGTGCATTACCCCCCCCCACACACACACACCAGCGATTCGCCTCCCGACATGTCGGAATTTTTGGGGCGCTGTGGGCAACTCGATAAGTCGAGAGCGAGATGCTTGGCGCAGCGAACGAATCTACGATGCGCGCCGGCGAGCGCGGCACTAAGGAAGAGGGCTGCGTGGGGGGGAGCACCCGCGAGGCGCCGGCAAATTGCGATGTGGTGTCCACGGTAGTTGCTGGGGCCCGTCAGTATGTGTGGATATCGGGTGCGAGGGCTTGGTCACTGTGCGTTGTGGCGTCGGAGTCGGCGCAGTCGCTCGGCGATATCCCCCGATATGTGAGAATATGTGGGTCATTTTAGAGTGTTGATGGCTTGATGCCGCCGTCGCGGGCTCGGCGATGGTTCTTGGCCGAGGTGGCTGTCACTGTGAGTACCCTCTTAGTGTTAGTCGTACGCACTACCCCCTAGAACATCAACGGTCAAGAGAGCACGCCCTCACGGTGTACTGCCGACCCCCCGAAACGCCTCTCTCACGGGATGAGTACGCGCGACACTCTATGCTGGTCCACTCTGATCTCTGTCTCTAGGGGCTGCTCTCCTTGCCCCGGCGTATTTCCATGATCAGCTCGCATCTGACACTGTGGCGACCGTCGTGGTCACGCCCGCCACCCGCTCCGTCGAAAGCTGGACGTCCTCCGCCTCGGGCGCAACTGCAGGCACCTTTCCTGTGGGGCTGATGGGCGCCGCTTCCTCGGAGATGGACAGGTCCGCCACGACGGGATCCTCGTCGGGCGCAGCGGGCGCGTTGGCGCTCTTCGCCTCGGGCTCCGGCTCCGTGGCCGCAGCGTCCTCCGCCTTGCGCGGCGAAAAGAGCGAGGAGATCTTCTCGATCAACGACGGCTGTGGCTCCGGCTCTGGCTCCACCGCTGCCGCGTCGGGCTCCATCGCCGCCGCCTCGGGCTCCGCCGCTGCCGCCTCGGGCTCCGCCACCGCCTCGGGCTCCCCCACCGCCTCCGATACCGGCTCACACGCCGCCTCGGCCGCCTCAGCCGTGCCCTCGGCCGGCCCCTCCCCCCCGGCCTCCGCGGCCGCATCTGTGGCCGGAGCGTCGTCCGCCTTGCGCGGGGAGAAGAAGGAGGAGATCTTCTCGATCAACGATGGCTGCGGCTCGGGCTCGGGCTCGGGCTCGGCGGGCTCGCCCGCCGCCTCGGGATCCTCCGCGACCGCCGCCTCCTCCGCCTCGGCAGGAGCCTCCACCGCCGCCTGCGGCCCGCTAGACCGCCGGGGCCCTCGCGGCGTCGCTCGCGGCGTCATCGCGTCCAGGGGCACACCCAGCTCCTGCAGCTTCTCCTCCACCTCATCAAACATCTCCTCCACCGCGTCCTCGCTCATGCCGTCGAAAAAGTCCTCGGGGATGACAGACGGGTCGCCCTTGCTCTGAAGCATCATATTGAGGAGCTGTTCAAACTTGGACTGGACGATGGGCTCAACCTCCTCCACGGCAGCGACCTCTTCCTCGCCAGACTCTTGCTTGGCCTCGCTCATCGCAGTAACGGCGTCCGCTGACGCAGCGACCGCTTCTCCCGCTGGCGCCGAACTCGATTCGTATGTGGCGACCGCCTCATCGACGACGCGGCTTGGCTGCTGAGTGGGCTTCGGGCGGGGTGTAGCGACCGCGCTTGAAACTTTGCCGGTGGAGCAGATTGCGCCCATGCTGTATTGAGTGGAAGGGTGCGGCGCCTTGGCTATTGCGAGCACCGTCCTTGTTGTTCGTGGAGCGTGTCGTGCGTAACTCTCGCACTAGCTCTCCACGACTCCACCCTCGCCCTCTCGCAAGCCTCGCCTCCGCCCGCACGCTCGACAGAACCCGGGGACGACGTGCGTGTTTGCTTCTCTACGAAAACACACACTCCCAGTCAGTCAGCGCCCATGTCGTGTGTGCTTGTGAGAGAGTGAGGCGGATGACAGGGAGAGGGGGAGCATTGGGGGAGAGTGTAATCGTGGTGAATTTTCTTTTCTTCGCGTTACATCATCGCTGCCTCGCCTCCTTGTCTGAGCGGCGCCGCTCGCGTCGCGGACCTTGTGAGAGGACGTGGAAGCTCAGCCTCACGGCGCCATGGACCAGCTTGGCCAGCCGCTCAGCCCCGTCCTCGAGGCGGCCTCCTCCTCTCGCTGGACCTTGGACGAGAGCAGCACGCCGCGTTCGCAGGCCACTCCTCGGGCAGACGCGCAGCCATCGTCCGCCAACCAGCCGGCCGTGCTGCCGCTCGCCGCGCCGGCGTCCGCGTCCGCGGCGCGCTCGCGGCGCTTCTCCTCTGCGAGCGGCAGCACGGCGCACTCCCGCGTGCTCGACGACTTGCTCTCCTTGAAGGAGCAGAGCGAGAGCCGGCGCGCCGGGCCGGTGGTGCAGCAGCCACTCGCGATGTGGCGGCCCGCCCGCCCGCCCGAGAGCAACTGCTCGGCCGACGCGCGCGCCATCCAGCGGGCGTGGCGGCGTCGCAAGCTCGCGCGCGAGCTCTACAGCTGCGAGAACGCCGGCGCGCTCCTCTCCTCTCTCACACTTGTCGAGGAGCGCGCCTCGACCCGGGCCGAGGCCGCGAGCCTGCCTCCCGTCGCCGAGGCGGAGGAGGGGGCTGGCAGCCCGGACGAGTGGCGCACGTCCGCGCCGACCAACCTCGCCTCGCCCGAGGGCCCGCCCAAGCCGGACATCGCCCTCGCAAAGGCGGCCGTCCGCCGCCAGCTGCCGCAGCTACCAGACGGGCGCCTCTGGCCGCTGCACTCGGAGCTGGGCGCCTTCGACCGGTTCGGGACGGATGTGTCGCAGTACATGCACTTTGTGTACCACCTCGCGCGGACGTGCGCCTGGCTCTTCCTCCTCAACCTTTCCAACGTCATCATCAACTTTGAAGGCGACTCGGAGAGAGAGAGAGAAAGACACACACACACACACACACACACGCACACGCACACGCACACGCACACGCACACGCACACGCACACGCACACGCACACGCACACGCACACGCACACGCACACGCACACGCACACGCACACGCACGCACCCCGGGCCGGCACACCGCTCACTCACGCGCACTGGGCCTGCACTTTCAATGCCGTGCGGCTCCTGCGGCAATCTAGACGTGGGGTCGCGAGGGATTGCCCGGCCCTTGCCCAACCACCTCTTGTGTGTGGAGAAGTTCACCCTTCCCCTCCCCTTAGGCAACTCTGAGATCGTCTCGCCGTTTACGATCCACACGCTTGGAAACACAAACAACGCCGTGCTCGACCGCGGCGGCCACTCCTACGCGGTGATGGAGATCTGCAACGCCGCCATCCTCCTCGCCTTCCTCTTCCAGGTCCGCTCCCAGCTCGAGGAGATGAGCGACCGCATTCGGCACGGCGGCCACGCGCTGACGGCGGCAGACTTCACCGTGATGGTGAGCAACGTCCCGAGGCACTGGCGGTCGGAGCAGCTGCGCGCGCACTTTGAGAAGTTCGGCGCCGTGGTGCACGTCGGCGTCTCGCTCGACTACCGCGAGCTGACCCTCGCCATGCAGGAGTGATCTCGGGTGATCTCGGGTGATCTCGGGCAACCTCGGGTGATCTCGAGCTCTCGCCCTCGCCATGCAGGAGTCGCAGCGGCTTAAGGACAAGCACATCGACGCCACCCTCCACCTCGTGGCGCTCATCCGGGGCGGCGCTCCAAAGGGGTCCGTCGGCAAGGCGCGCCTCGGGCACTCTCGGGCACTCTCGGGCACTCTCGGGTACTCTCGGGTACTCTCGGGTACTCTCGGGTACTCTCGGGTACTCTCGGGTAATCTTTTCGGGTCCTCTCGGGTCCTCTCGGGTAATCTCGGGTAATCTCGGCAAGGCGCGCGCCGCCGCCAAGCGGGCGCTCGACGCGCTCGAGGCGAATCGCACGCGGACCGGCGCTCTGACAAAGAAGCGGTGCCGCGACACTTCCGAGACGCTTCCGCGCCTCGCCGCCGATGCTGCCACTGCCTCCCACCGAGATAGCCCGAGACACTTCCGAGACACGTCCGAGGCACTTCATCCACCCGAGATCGCCCGAGACCAGGTACCACTGCACCGGCTATGCCTTCGTCACCTTCAACGAAGCCGCCGTCGCGAAGCGCGTGCTCGAGACGATGCCGCAGGACCGCGCCTCGTGTACTCTCGGGTACTCTCGGCTCATCACGATCTCGGGTAATCTCGGGTGATCTCGCAGGACCGCGCCTTCTCGCGCGTGTTTGGCGGCGGGCTCGTCGTGTCGCGCGCGCCCGAGCCGGAGGACATCATCTGGGAGAACCTCCAGACGAGCCCGCGCGAGCAGTTTGCGCGGCAGTCCCTCTCGGTGCTCGTGCTGACCGTGCTGCTCGTGCTCTCCGTGCTCCTCCTGACCAGCGTCAACCTCTTCATGCAGGCGCGCCGACAGAGACGGGCCGAGATGCAGCGAGATGCAGCGATATGCAGCGAGATGCAGCGAGATGCAGCGAGATGCGGCGAGGTGCGGCGAGATGTGGCGAGATGCGGCGGAGATGCGCCGAGATGTGGCGAGATGCGGCGGAGATGCGCCGAGATGCGCCTCGAGATGTGCCGAGATGCGTCACGAGATTGTCCGAGGTTGCCCGAGGCGCTTCCCCGTTCGATGCCCCTCGTTGCTCGCTGCAGGGCGCCAACCCCGTGATGGAGGTGCTCGGTCTGGAGGAGAAGCTCGAGGACCCCACCTTGTTCGAGTTCGTGCTCGTGCAGGCGCTGCAGGGCCTGCTCACTCTGATCGGCTACCTCTCCATCTTCATCTCGGTGCCCGTGATGGCGTACTTCCTCGAGCGGCCGCACACGCGCGGCGCGCGGGAGGCGAGCGTGATGCTGAAGCTGTCCTTCTTCCAGTGCGCCGTCATCCTCGTCACTCTCTTCGTGCTCACCACCGTCGAGACCAACGAGAACGACGACCCCGACGGCTCCTTCAAGCGCGGCTGGTACCCGGTCGGCATGACGGTGCTGCTTGGCGCCCTCCTCGGCGACATCCTGTTCATCCAGTTCGGGATGGACCTCGTGCGCCCCTTCGACCTTGTCAAGAAGCAATGCTTCGCCAAGCGCGCAAAGACGCAGGCGCGCATGAGCGAGCTCTGCGCGTGCTCGAGAGTACCCGAGAGTACCCGAGAGTACCCGAGAGTACCCGAGAGTACCCGAGAGTACCCGAGATTAGGCGCGCATGAACGAGCTCTACGCGTGCTCGGCCGACGGCATGCTTGCCTTCCGGCTCCAGATCCTGGTCAAGGTGCTCGTGCTCGGCCTCTTCTTCTCGTTCGCGATGCCGATGCTCTACCTCGTCATCGCGATCTACGGCTGGATCGCGCAGTGGATCGACCGCCTCCTCCTCCTCCGCCTGCTCCTCCCGCCGCCGCCCACACACGAGCAGCTGATGGTGTACATTGTGCGCGTCATCCTGCCGCTCGCCGTCGTCGGCGAGCCTCCGCCTCCGCCTCCTCGCTCGCGGCCTCCGCGAGGCGACGCGAGACTGCCCGAGAGTAGGCCACTCCGTCTTCGCCCTCATCTTCTTCCGCGATCTCTGCGACGACGAGACGCTCGACCTCAACTTTTACGCGGTCCGGGCCCAGGTGGGGAGAGTCAGCGAGATTCGGCGAGATTCGGCGAGATTCGGCGAGATTCCGCGAGATTCCGCGAGACTCCGCGAGATTCGGCGAGACTCCGCGAGATGACCGGAGGCACGCTCGACCTCAAGCCCTTGCGCGGTCGGCGCCCAGGCGAGCGAGAGAGGGGGCCTGGAGGCTGTTGGCTGCGTGCTTTTCCTTCCGAACCAGACCGCGGACGCGTCGCTGGCTGGCTCGGGCGACTTCATCTACGGCTGCTCCGGCCTCAAGGCGTGCAACGACCGCACGTGGTCGTCTGCGCGCGTCGTCCTCCTCTTCACCGCCTGCTGCACCGCGCTGGTCGTGCTCTACTACCTCTACACCTCGCGGAGCAAGGCGCGCCAGGAGCGGTCGCGGAGGCGGTCCGACGGCGGCGGCGAGGGCCGGGCGAGCCTCGTGTCGGCGCGCCAGTTCAAGCGCATGTACCGCCTCCTCGCGCAGAGGGACCTGCGCTCGCGGTCGGTGGACGAGCTCTCCAAGAGCGGCGCCCTCCCCTAGATGCGGACATCTCCCCACATCTCCCCGTGCCTCCCCGAATCTCGACGGTTGCCGCCCTCTCCTAGATGCCCTGGCCCTAGCCCTAGCCCCAGCCCCAGCCCTCTCCTAGGCGCGGCGTACGGACCCACTGCGTTCCGCCCTGACCCTAACCCGTACCCTCCCCTCGACCCTAACCCCGACCCTAGCCCCGCCCTGCACTCCTCCTCTTAGGCGCCCTGTCGGCTCGCGTGCGGCCAGAGACGAGCCTGTCCGCAAAGTCCCTCGTCGCTCTGCCGCGGGACGGGGAGCCGGCCTCGCCGGCGCCGCCGGCGCCGCCGGCGGGCAGCGAGGGGAGCGTGGGCAGCGGCGGCGCCGACGAGGCCGCGCGGCAGGTGTGCATCTCGATCGACAGCCCAATCGACGAGGCGAATGCGTCTCCGGGGCCTTCGAGGCCCGCCACGCCCGTTCTCCTGGCCCTGCCCACGACCTCCGAGTCCGCGCCGACCGAGCCGAGCGAGGGGGAGCGGCTCACCTCGGGCACGCAGCTCAGCTCACAGCTCCTCCTCGACGAGCAAACGCTCATGTACGCCCAGCCCACCGCCTCCCTCAACACCGGCAGACCCTCCCCACCCTCCCCACCGCCTTCGCCACCCCCTACCTCACCCCGCCCTCGCCGCCGCCGCCCTCGCCGCCGCCGCCCTCGCCGCCGCCGCCCTCGCCGCCGCCGCCCTCGCCGCCGCCGCCCTTTGGCGCCGCCGCCCTCACCGCCGCCGCCCTCGCCGTCACCCCTCGCAGGTACCTGCCGCCCCTCACGCGCCTCCTCCTCGACTCGTTCCGGAAGGACATGACGAACCGCGGCGTCGACGCCTTTTTGCGCCGGAACGGGGCGCCCGCGCTGCCCGACGGGCTCTCCCCGCCCGCCGCAAAGGCCTCCCTGCGGCACTGGGGCAGCTGCGGCCGCCGCGCCTCCGCCTCCGAGCCGGGCGGCTGGCCGGCGCACATCTCACTCTCCGCGCTGCGCAAGATCCCCGCTAGCTGCGGCGTGGCCATGCCGTCGTCCTCCAAGCCCGCCTCGCTGCTGCTGCAGCTCGACGCGATCGAGCGAGTGCTCGGCCGGCGCGCGGCGCCGGCGGCCGAGGCGGGCGGGGATGGCGACGCGCCCGGCGCCGGCGCGTCGGCGGAGGGCGGGGGGGGCGCCGCGGCCAAGGGGGGCGCCGTGGCGGCGCCTGGCGACGAGTGCGCCGACGAGACGCTCGAGCAGCTGGAGGTGTCGGTGCTGGCAGAGGCGGCGGAGCGGCTGACGCACGTGGCGGAGCGGGCGCGCGCGGCGCTCGGGTCGTCGCTCGAGCGGATGGCCTCGAGCGGCTCGCTCCACGCCCTCTCGCCGAGAGCGGCCGGACTGGCGACGTAGTATCGGCACCTCCGGCTGGTTAGGCGGCGGGGGTGTCGTGGTCGGACTCGCGCGCCCGCGCGTGTAATCGTCTCCCAGCTAGTGAGCTACGGCTCTAGATTGCAGCAACTCCAGCATTGCGGCACAGCACACATTCGTGTGCGGGGCTGGCCGCCCCCCCGCCCAGCCCGCCGCTGCCGTGCGATGTGCGTGCGAGTTCTATTACTGCAATATTGCAGCATGAAACTCTCGATCAAGAGTGATGAGAGAAAGAGATACTGCCACTGGGTCAAAACACTAATCCACAAATTCACGCACACTCCCAGACGGACGTGTCGGGAAGCCGCACCTCTCACACCCCCCGGAGACACGAGCCGTCAGCGGTGTGGCCATGCAGCGCCGTCCGATAGTGAGCAGCTGCCGTGGTCAGCCCGGAGGCTGCCCAGCACGCACGAATCCACAGTCAATCGCCGTCCTCGAACACCATCAGGCGGCCGGCGTCGAGCCATCGCCCCGCGTCGGGATCCCAGATGCGGCGCGAGGTGCTGGGGCGGCCCGCGAGGCAGCGCAGCTCCGGAGCACCGATCCACGCGGCACCGCCATAGACCTTCCACGCGACAGTCGAGGCCTCAGGCCGCAGGCAGCCGTCAATCACGCTCACCCGGCCACGGGCCTGCCCGAGATTGGCTGCAGCTCCAACGTACCAGCTCTGGCCAGCGTGCCACAGCATGACGCTGTCAGCGCCAGCCTTGGTGTACGATGGGTAGCCGTTGACGAGCTCATCGCGCTTGAGAAAGACGCCGAGCACGCCGGCCTGCTTGTTCTGCGGCGTCGGCCCGACCAGCGCGATCTGCGGCGCTGCCTTGGCGATCTCTGCGGCGAGGGCGTCGCCCGCGAGGCAGCGCAGCTCCGGGGCATCGATCCACACTGTGCCGTCTTGGACCTTCCACGTCACAGTCGAGGCGTACGGGCGCACGCAGCCGTCGCGCAGAGTCACCCAGCCACGGGTCTGTCCGAGGTTGGCTGCAGATCCAACGAACCAGCTCTGGCCGGCGTGCCACAGCATGACGCGGTCATCGCCCGTCTTGGTGTACGATGGGTAGCCGTTGATCAGCTCATCGCGCTTGAGGAAGACGCCGAGCAAGTTGACGTGCAGGTTTTGCGGCGTCGGCCCGACCAGCGCGATCTGCGGCGCTGCCTTGGCCATCTCTGCGGCGAGGGCGTCGCCCGCAACGCAGCGCAGCTCCGGCGCATTGACAAATGCTGTGCCATCCCAGACGCGCCACGTGACAGTCGAGGCCTCCGGGCGCACGCAGCCGTCGAACAGACTCACCACTCCACGGTCCTGTCCGAGGTTTGTTGCAGCTCCAACGTACCAGCTCTGGCCGGCGTGCCACAGCATGACGCTGTCAGCGCCAGCCTTGGTGTACGATGCGAAGCCGTTGACGAGCGCGGTACGCTTGACGAAGACACCGAGCACGTTGGCCTGCTTGTTCTCCGGCGTCGGCCCGACTAGCGCGATCGACAGCAGCCTGCGGAGATGTGGAACGGCCGCCGCTCGGAAGGTGCGGCAGGAAGCGTAGGCTGCGCGCAGGGCGTCCTCGGTGCAGAAGGAGAGGGCGAGGTCGAGCAGATCGTCCGTGGTGAGCACGTCGAGAAGCACCGGTGGGGCCGCGCTTGAGGCCGCGCTTGAGGCCGCGCCCGTGCGAGCGCTCCGACGCGAGCGAGGCGGCATGGCGAGCCGGTTATGCAGCGTGATTTCTTTTATGTTCGTGCGAATACCCTTACAGCGTTGGTGTCCCAGTCGTTGGTCGGACTGTGTTTCGCCTTCCCATCAATCAATCAATACGCCATTGCTGATGAGGGGAGGCGGCGGTGGTACGTCGTCTACCGGCGGGTGCGCCCCGCGACGCACGTCGCACGAGGCGCGCGTGCACACGCACACAGGCAGGGGTCGGTCGCATTGGCGGCCGCGCGGCAGTGGCTGCGGGGGGGGGCGGGAGGAGGTGGTGGCGCCGACCGCAATGGCGGCTGACCCGACGAGCGCCGGGCGAGATCGCGAGGGTCGAGGGTGAGCGGATGTGTGAGAGAGAGAGAGATATTTGTTTGTGTTTGATGTGTGTTCACCCCAAAATTCTCGAAGCAGCAATGGCGCTGATTGCGACTGCGACTGCCGCTTCTGTGACTGCGGCCGCCGCCGCTCCTCCCAAAGTCACCCTCACCCCGTGGTGCGACAACTCGTTCCGCGTCCGCGTGGCTCCGCCTTTGCTGCCGCCTGCCGCGCAGGCCGCCAGTGCCGCGCTCGCACGGTCGCTCGCCTCGAAGAACCTGACCGACCTCCCGGGAGCGCTGATTGAGACCTGCCGCCCGGGCGCCTCGCTCGTCCCGGCGCCCGGCACGGCGGTCACCAACGGCAACCTCGCCGTCTCCGTCCGCGACGATGGCTCGCTCACGTTCCGCCGCGCCGACACGGGCGCACTCCTCTTCAGCGCGGCGCCGTCTCTCGTGTTCAACGGTGGCACACCCGGCTCGGACGGCGGCTGGAGGACGGTCGAGGGAAAGGCGGCCCGCTCCTGCTCCTCCTCCGAGTTTGACGGCGACCTCGGCAGCGCGGAGACTGCGTCGGAGTGCCTCACCAAGGCGTCCAGCACGCAGGGCCGGCCCCGGCAATTTCAATGCGATCGGAGGTGTGCCTTTTGTCACAGGTGATGTCCACCGGCCGGCGGGTCAACTACGGCGTCTGGCGCGGCGGCGCCACGGGCAACAAGGGGTGCTATGCTTGCAATTTGACTGACCGCGGTCCGAGCGAAGGGCTAGTCGGACTAGATGCGGATCTCCCCATATCTCCCCATAACTCCCCATAACTCCCCATATCTCCCCATATCTCCTAGTCGGACTAGATGCGGATTCTCTCCCCACATCGCTCCCCATATCTCCCCATATCTCGAGTATGCTAGTCGGAGTGCAGGTATCTCGCCACATCTCGCCACATCTCCCCGCATCTCCCCACATTTCGCCACGTCTCGAGTACGATTGCCGGAGGGCGGAGCTTGTTGGGCCGCCCGCCCCGTGGCAAAGCCGGGGATGGAAACAAGGAGAGATGGGTGGCCAACTGGTGGTAGGTGGGAGCTGAAGCCGGCGCCCGGCGCCGTGTGCTTCCTCGGCCCGCCCGTGCCAAAGGTTGGCGCGGGCTACTTCGAGGCCACCTTGACCGGTCACGGCCGGCGTCCCGCCCGCGAGTGTGTTATCCGCCACTTGTCTGCGCTTAGGCCCCAGCCGGGCCGGAGACAACTGGCGCTCCGCACCCTTGCTCCCATCCCGCCCACCCTTCTGCTTGTCAGGCCAACCTGACGGTGACGGCCGGCGACCGCGACGAGTTCAGCTACGGCCTCGGGCAAGGCGAGTGGACGCCAGAAGGGGGCTGCCCCGAGGCGGGCGCTGCAGGCCCGCGCGCCGTTGTCGCTCGAGCGCCGCGGGCAGCTTGCCCGAGCTCAGCCCCGAGGTCGCACGAGATTGCACGAGAATAGGCTCGCGCATCGTCCCGCTCGAGCGGCACGGCCAGGCGCGGCAGCGCTGCAGCAGCGGAAGTTCCATGCCGCCTTCGAGGAACCCTCTAGGAACCTTCTAGGAACGTTCTAGGCGCTGCAGCTGCAGCAGCGGAAGTTCCATGCCGCCTTCTAGGAACCCTCTAGGAACCTTCTAGGAACCTTCTAGGCGCTGCAGCTGCAGCAGCGGAAGTTCCATGTCACCATCCCTCTGCTCACTTCGTCGGCCGGGTACGCGCTCCTGTTCAACATGCCCGGCTACGGTGAGCGGCTGCCGCGCCCAGTACCACACCCCCAGAGTATCGAATCCAGTGTGGGTCCAGTCCCGTGGGTGGTGCGGCACTAGGCTCCGTCGCCGTCGGCAAGCGCGGCGAAGGCGGCTCACACTGGACTGCGCGCGCGGCCCTGTACCTCGACTTTTGGGTCTCCTCCGTGCCTAGGTCGCATCCACCTTCTAGGAACCGTCTAGGAACCGTCCAGGAACCTTCTAGGTCTCCTCCGTGCCGGCGGGCGCCACCCCTCCGGCGTGGCCGTCGCTGTACCGGCAGTACGCGGACGCGACCGGCCACGCGCCTCCGTTGCGCGAGGCGGCGATGGGGTTCTGGCAGTCGCGCAATCGGTACAAGTCTTCGGGCATCGCGCTCGGCGTCGCGGCGAAGTACGCCGAGAGGCCGGCCGCGGTGCGGCCGTCGGTGCTGGTCATCGACTACAAGAACCAGCGGCACGACGGCGACTTCGCCCCCGACCCGGCCTGCTACCCGTCCGTGCGCGCCCTCTCTGACGGCGTCCGCGCGGCCATCAACGCGACCCTCATGTTTTCGTTCTGGCCCGAGGTCCTCAGCCAGGCGACAGAGTAAGCGCCGCTGCAGCAGCGTCTCTCTCTCTCTCTCTCCTCTCACTCTCTCACTCACACACACACTCTCTCTCTCTCTCCCTCTCTCACTCTCTCTCTCTCTCTCTCTCTCTCTCTCTCTCTCTCTCTCTCTCTCTCTCTCTGGCTGCCTCATCAACGCGGACCTCGGAGGGCGTGCCGTAGGCGACAGAGTACGCGCCGTTGCAGCAGCGTGGCTGCCTCATCAACGCGGACCTCGGAGGGCGCGCCGTCGATCCGACGGTCCCAGAGTGCCGCCGCTACCTGTGGGAAGCGCTGCTCAAGCCGCGCTACTTTGACCAGGGCGTGAGCGCTTTCTGGCGCGACGAGACCTCGGCGGCGGACCGGGCCCCTCCGGCCAGCCCCTGCTCGGACCCTTCTCGGAGACTTCCTGTAGGCTGGACGAGACTAGGGGCTGCTCTCTCCCCATCTCCCCCCATCTCCCCCCCATCTCTCCCCATCTCTCCTGTAGGCTGGACGAGACGGACGGCGAGGGCACCGGCGGCGGCGGCGACGGGGACTACGGCTACAACAGTAGCTTCGGGCCGCCCGCCGCGTACTCGAACTTGTGGGTCGACACCCCACCCCTCCTCCCGGAGCTGGCCTCTGATCACTGCTACTCATCGAGCACACATCCACACTTACACCCACACGCACACACACACACACACACACACACACACACACACACACACACACACACACACACACACACACACACACACACACACACACACACACACACACACACACACACACACACACACACACACACACACACACACACACACACACAGTCACACACCTCCTTCACGCAGGTCAACGACTGGCTGCGCGCCTTCTCGGAGCCGGTGGCGGAGGCGCGGCTGCCGCCGCTCCTCCTCACACGCGGCGTGTGGGCGGGAGGGCAGCGGCACGGGGCCGTCCTCTGGTCGTCCGACATCCGGTGTTTTCTTTTTTCCTCGAGCCTCGAGCTGCTGGTCTATACCTCGACGTTTTCTTTTTTACCACTCGTGTTTCTTTTTCAATAGGTCGAGCTTCGAGCAGCTGGCGTCGCAAGTGCCGCAGGGCACGCCGCTAGTCCCATACCTCCAGAGTACCGAACCCAGTGTGGGTTCAGTCCCGAGGGTGGTGCGGTAGGCGTCCACGCGTCCATGTCGGGCATCTCCCTGGTGGACCACCATGTCACCTTCCAGGAACCCTCCAGGGACCTTCCAGGAACCTTCTAGGCATCCCCTGGTGGACCACCGACGTCGGCGGCTACGGCTGCGGCTTCGTCGAGCCGAACGACTCGGAGTACATGCGCGAGCTCATCGTCCGCTGGTGACCAGTTCGGCCCCTTCTCCCCCGTCTCAAGAGCAGCTCACCCTTGATTCCTCTCATACCAAACAGGTACCAATTCGGCGCCTTCTCCCCCGTCTTTCGGACACATGGCTGCCGCACGGGGCCCTAGAAGCGGAACACGCATTCGTGGATCCCAGCTAGCGCTCGAGAGGACACGTACTCCGCTGTCTTCGGCCGCACTCCGGCCGTATTCAACTGTACTCGCAGCCCCTCGTACTCACGCGGTGCTCTAAGACGCTGCACAGTACCGCCCTCCCGCCCTCCTGTCGGCGTATGCACAACGCAGGCCTGGGTCCGTCCGAGCCGGACTCGGACTGCAAGCCGGCGCATGGCTCGTGCGGGTGCAGCGAGATCTGGTCGCACGGCGCCGAGATCGCCCGAGCTTGCGGCGAGATCGCGCGAGATCGCACCGCGTAGGTACAATGAGATCTGGTCGTACGGGGCCGCCACCCAGGCGCTCCTCGAGGGCGTCGTGCGGATGAGGAACGAGGTGCTATCTCCCCATCTCTCCCCACATCTCCCCACATCTCCCCATATCTCACCATATCTCGAGGGCGTCGTGCGGATGAGGAACGAGGTGCTGCGGCCGCACCCGCGAGGTCACGCGAGATCGCCCGAGATCACCCGAGATCGACCGAGGTCACCCGAGGTCACCCGAGATCACGCGAGATCACGCGAGATCACGCGAGATCACGCGAGATCACCCGACGCCAGGTGCTGCTGCCGTACATCCGAGAGCTCGCCGCAAACGTCTCCGCGCACGGCGCGCCGACCATGCGCCCGCTCGCTTACGAGTTCCCCGACGACAGAGCCTGCCGCGGCGTGGACGACCAGTACATGCTCGGGCCAAAGTACCTCGTCGCGCCCGTGACGGCCCGCGGCGCCACCGCCCGGACGGTCGTCTTCCCCAAGGGCGCCAGCTGGCGGCCCGTCGGCGGCGGCGCCCCCGTCTCCGGCGGGCAGACGCTCAAGGTGGCGGCGCATCTCTCGACACGGTCCTCGCGCGCGGGCCTTTCTGCAGTCGTTCTCATTCATTACTACCCATTCAGGTGGCGGCGCCGCTCGACACGATCCTCGCCTTCGGCCGAGAGGCGCCGGCGTCGGAGGGGCCGCTCGTGCCGGCGTGAGGGTAGCCGTCCGTCCGGGTGTGACTGTGTAGTCCGCGCGGGGTGAGGCACCCCTGCCCCCCCCCCCCACTCGCCCCTGCCTCGAGCTCAAACCAGACGTAACGTAGACCGTCTGACCACCTAGAAGTCTCTCTCGCGATCCTTGAAAGACCGTAGCGTCCGCGCGCTTGTTGTGAGAGCCCGAGTTGCGCCCTTGCCGCCGTGGGGGTACTTTATCACAGGTATCTCAGGTACGTGAGAAAATTTCGGGTGGGTCGTTCTGGGTTGTCATTGTCTTAGACGACTTCCTGAAAAAATGTACAGTACAGGAGGCGGAAACCCCCGATCTGGAGAGAGCGATCTCCACACAGTGGAATGTGGGGATCGGGATGCGTAGAGCCGTACGGGCCCCCCACACGGGGGGGGGGGGGGGGGTTGGTGTGATCCGTGTTGCCGCGTAAGTAGTCGCGGCTACTAAAGCAAGTATTTCCCAGCAAGAGCGGAGCCCTGACCCGCTGACCCGGGCACTTGGAGCGGGGCCCCTGGGTTTCGTGGAGCATTTGGGGGGGGAGACCAGTGCAGTCGGCAACCTCACACCCAGGGCCGGGGAGCTATGAAGCGCACCCAGCGGGCCGGGTGTGTTCGATTTTATTAAATGCGCCACAGAGAATTCTGAACTGCCCGTTGTCACACCTTCGGCCAGCTGGTTTTGATCGCTGCTCAAGTCGCAAGACAGGGCAGTTCGGCCCCTCGCGCGCGCCACTCCCGGGCCGCCTGCCGCGGCCAAACGGACCTGTGGAACTGCAACCAGAGCAACATCTGCCCCCCGCGAGCCTGCTGGCCGAGGTCCATCAGCTACAGGACCGCAGGTGCGCCCGTTGCCCAGCCACGGATCCCTCTGCGCAGAGCCGTCGCGGCGCGAGAGGGCTCTGCTGCAGATACCACTGCTGCGCGCGCAACACGTACTCCGTGCGTCGGGATCCTGGGAGTCTGCCTCATTCCACTGCTGTTCCCAGAAAACTGCCATGCGCGGCGCGCGGAGGAGGAGGCAAACTCCGCGACGCACCGAGCCGAGGAGGCGGAGCGAGCTTGCGCCGTCGCCCATTCCGAGCTCTGCCAAGCACGTGAGAGCCATGCGGCCCTCGAGGGCAGCGCCGCTCGGCTGCGGGACGACCGCGATGCGATGCTCGATCACGTGCAGGACCTGGTGGCTGAGCTGGCGGCGGCGGAGGAGCGCGCCAACACCCTCTCCGAGGACCAGCTCCGCCTCGCCGAGCGACGGAACGAGCTGGAGCACGGGCGAGCGGCGGCGCACGCGGAGCAGCAGCAGCAGCAGATCGCCGCGCGCAGGCTGGAGGCAGCCGCGCAGCAGCGGGGCGCAGAGGCGCGTGCGGCGGCGGCGGCGACGGACGAGGCGCGCCGCGAGGCGGAGGCGCTTCGGCGCGAGCTGTGCGAGGCGCGTGGCGAGGCGGGCAGCATGGGCGCATCGGCGGACGAGCTGGCGGCGCAGAACAGCTCGCTGCGACTTCGGCTCGACGAGGCGGACGGGCGGGCGCTCGCCGCCGAGGAGGAGCTGGCGCGCGTGAGCTCGACGCTCGCAGTCGCGCGGCGGAGCAGCGGCTCGCAGCACGCCTCGCTGGCGGAGCAGCTCGCAGACACGCTCCGTACTCTGCACGGCACCCTCCAGGAGAGGGACCGCCTCCGCGCCGCCCTTGACGAGGCGCTCGCCTCGTGCGCGTCGTCGCTCGTCGCGCGGGAGGTCGCCGAGGCGTCGCTGCAGAAGCAGCTGCTCGGGATCGCGTCGCTCGGCGAGGCGGCCAGCGCCGCGCGTGCCGCGCGGCGGTGTTGAGCTATGGACGCGACTTTTCCTTTCGCCCTCTGCTAGGCGACCATCGACAAGCAGCTGCTCGGCCTCGCCCCGCCCCTCGCCTCGCCGCTGTCGCAGCCGCCCTCGGGCTCCATCGCGTCGCCGCCCTCCCGCCTCTCGCGCCTTGCACCTCGCGAGGCGTCGCCGACCGCGTGAGGAGAGGGGATGCGTGAGGGTGTGCGGGCCGGCGGCGAGGGCGGGCCGGAGCGGGAGGCCTGGACGCTGGAGGTGGAGTCTGGTCTCTGGAGACTGGAGAGCTGGCCAGGTAGGAGGGGGCAGGGTGGGGCCTTCAGGGGCCTAGAGAACACACCCCTTTCTCCCTTTCTCCCAGTAAGCTAAAAGTACGTACATACTGACGTAACACCGACGAGGCCGTACAGCGGCCGCGCCGCGGGTGGGCGCGGGATACATACGACTTCGGTACGGAGGGGCCCCGCGCGGATAGCCGATAGGCGCGAAGCCGCCCCCCGCGGCGCGGCATCCCAGAACGCGCTCCATCCCAAAACGCGCTGTCGAGCATCGTGGTTGCGCCTCCCATCCCGTCTCAGAGGCGCGCAGCCCGGGCGCTCACCATTGACCCGTAGACGAGGCCCCTTCATGTGCTCAAGTGCCCAACTCATTCTCAAAGACGTCGAAGTCGTCAGCGTCGAGCCAGCGTCCCTCCCTGCGGCCCCAGATGCGGCGCGAGGAGCTGGGGCGGCCCGCGAGGCAGCGCAGCTGCGGGGCGTCGATCCATTCTGCGCCATTGTAGACGCGCCACGCGACAGTCGAGGCCTCAGGTCGCAGGCAGCCGTCGCGCAGACTCACCCGGCCACGGTCCTGTCCGAGATTGGCTGCAACTCCAACGGTCCAGCACTCACCGGCGTGCCACAGCATGGCGCCGTCAGCGCCAGCCTTGGTGTACGATGGGTAGCCATTTATCAGCTCATCGCGCTTGAGGAAGACGCCGAGCACGCCGGCCTGCTTGTTCTGCGGCGTCGGCCCGACCAGCGCAATCTGCGGCGCAGCCTTGGCGATCTCTGCGGCGAGGGCGTCGCCCGCGAGGCAGCGCAGCTCCGGAGCGACGACCCACGCGGCACCGCCATAGACCTGCCACGTGACAGTCGAGGCCTCAGGGCGCAGGCAGCCGTCATCCACGCTCACCCAGCCACGGTTCTGTCCGAGGTCGGCTGCAGCTCCAATGATCCAGCACCCACCGGAATGCCACAGCATGGCGCTGTCATCGTCCGTCTTGGTGTACGATGGGTAGCCGTTGATCAGCTCATCGCGCTTGAGAAAGACGCCGCGCGAGCTGGCCTGCTTGTTCTGCGGCGTCGGCCCGACCAGCGCAATCTGCGGCGCAGCCTTGGCCATCTCTGCGGCGAGGGCGTCGCCCGCAACGCAGCGCAGCTCCGGAGCATTGACAAATGCGGTGCCGTCCAAGACGCGCCACGTGACAGTCGAGGCCTCCGGGCGCACGCAGCCGTCCAGCACGCTCACCCGGCCACGGGCCTGCCCGAGATTGGCTGCAGCTCCAACGTACCAGCACTCACCGGCGTGCCACAGCATGACGCCGTCATGGCCCGCCTTGCTGTACGACGCGAAGCCGTTGACGAGCGCGGCGCGCTTGACGAAGACACCGAGCACGTTGGCCTGCTTGTTCTCCGGCGTCGGCCCGACGATCGCGATCGACAGCAGCCTGCGGAGATGCGGAACGGCCGCCGCTCGGAAGGCGCGGCAGGAAGCGTAGGCTGCGCGCAGGGCGTCCTCGGTGCAGAAGGAGAGGGCGAGGTCCAGCAGATCGTCCGTGGTGAGCACGTCGAGCAGCACCGGCGAGGCCGCGCTCGAGGCCGCGCTTGAGGCCGCGCCCGTGCGAGCGCTCCGACGCGTGCGAGGCGGCATGGCGGGCGGTGAGCGCGTGCCCACGCGGATATCCGCTCGGCCGAGGTAGCAGTGGCCCAGGCAGCCCTTCGCCGTGCCGCCACGGGCGGTTGCGCGGCGGTTCGAGTGCCTCGAGACGACTCGAAAACGATCTGTGTCGTCCGATTTCGCGTCGCGATCGACCGTCTCCCTGTGCGGCTCTCTCAGCGTGTCGTCGAGCAGAGGCGGCCGAGCGCATCCGAGAAACCGCCCTCTCGCGCTCGAGAGGCGCCACCGCCGGCCCAACCGTGCTGTGCCGGTCGGCTGCGGCGCCGGAGACACCGGGAGCGCCTCACGAGCGGCGCGCACGACCCGTGCGCCTCTTCTCGCGTGCCGTCACCCCTTCTCGCTCGCCTCGCCGCGCCACCTTCTGCTGCTGCAATGGCAAGATCGGCTGTTGACGGGATCCGCCGCCGGCGGGCCCTCCAGTGTGCTCGCCGTGTGCTCGCCGTTCGTGCGAGCTCGAGGCGCCGCCCTTTTTCGTGCCGGCCGTGTGTCACCTCTGCTCGCGTGCACCAGTCGTACACATGTAATCTGAGAGGAGTGCGTGGCGGTGCGCGAAGGCTTTTTGGTGACGTAAAGAGCAAACCGGCTTCCGAATCCACACCTCGCCGACGGCACGCCCAGTTGTATGCTCGACTACGCATGCATGCCGTGGTGAGAGAGAGACCGAGATACGGCTCCGGTTGTCGTGGTATGTGGCGTGGCGGTGGTTTGCGAAACAAAACGGATGCGAGGATGCACGCAGAGCGCGACACGGGCCTCGCGTCCGAGCGCAAGTCGACGAGTGGGAGCCGAGATCACTGCTCGTGGTGCGCACACGCCGCGCAGCTGCGGGTTGTAACTCGATTGACAATCGCGCGTGCGGGATGAAAATGGAGCCGATTGGCGCTAGTGCACGGCGGCACTACCTAGTGCCTCTGGGGGAAAGGAGGAGGAGCCCTCAATAGACGGACTGAGATCGCTGGGCTGGATCCATATGGGGGTGCCGCACAACCTGAAGCGGAGGCACCCGTGTATACTCCACACCTCTCCGCGCCGAAGTATTGAGCCACCGCGGTCAACAGCATGCAGCACATGAGGGGATCGCATGCTGCGGACGGATACGCGTGCCGAGTCGATGCGCCCGTGGATGATGCACTGCGCGGCTGCGAGCGGAGCGGCGCGCCTAGCGCGAGCGTGCGCAGAGTTGGGATGGAGAGCTCTCGCGTCGCGATCTCAGGGTCGCGAGGGGTCGGCCTAAGCTACCTGCACGCGCCGCGAGCCCGGAGGCTGCACGAGAACCCGCGCGGCGAGATGTCTGGAGCCCGGAGCGCCGGCGGCTCGACGAGCCGCTCGCGGCGATGCGCCGTGTGGGAGGACGAAGTGGCCAGGAGCGCGCTCCTTTGAGGGCTTAGCTAGGGGTAGCGAGCTGCCCCTGTCGGCGCGAGGCGGTGCCGCGGCGGTGCGCGTGGAGCGCAGGCCAGCGAAACCTGCAATCGGCGATTGCAGGTTTGGGCCACTGCGAGCGCTCGCGCGCGGTGGATTTCTTTTCGGCGGAATTTTCTTTTTTATGTGACTTCTTCTGCTTCCACCCGGACCTCGCGATGAGAGCGGCTCTCGCGTCGCTCCTGCTCGCCTGTTGCCTCGTCGCGGGCCTGCGTTCGCCTCCGCCGGCTACTGTGCTACGGCGCGACGCTCTCGCTGCCGCCACTGCCGCCGTCGCCGCAGGCTCTGTGCTTCCCGATGCTGCAGAGGCTGCCGGCGACAGAGGCTATTCGGCCGTGCTGGGCGGGCCTTTCGAGTTCGGATTCCCGCTCGCGGCGCCGAAGCGAGCGACGGTTCGGCGCGAGCTCGTTCCTGGCCGGATCTGGTCGTTCGAGCAGGTGCTGCTGCAAGCGCTTCCAAGAGGCCATGTCGTGCGGCAGGAGCAGCGAACGCTGACTCCACCGCTCATTCGAGCAGGTGCAAGGCCTGATCTACGTGCACGTGCCTGTGCGAATGACGGCCGTCAAACTCGACGCCGGCGGGCTGCTGCTGTACTCGGCGGTGGCGCCGACGGAGGAGCGCCTAGTACCATGCCTCCAGAGTACCGAACCCAGTGTGGGTTCAGTCCCGTGGGTGGTGCGGTAGGAGTGCCTGCGCCTGCTCGCCGAGGTCGAGGCGACCGCCGGCGCCGTCCGCCATGTCCTCCTGCCGACGTTCAAGGACACGTCCTCGACATGTCCTTGACACGTCCCACAGGCGCCGTCCGCCATATCCTCCTGCCGACGGTCGCGTTGGAGCACAAGTACTTTGCGGGCGCGTTTGCGGACGCGCGGCCGGACGCGCAGCTCTGGGTGGCGTCGGCGCAGTACTCGTTCCCGCTCGACTTGCCGCTCGACCTGCAGGGTATATCTCCCCGTATCTCCCCATATCTCCCGCCCGACCTTCCGACAACACACTGACCCCTCTCGGACCCTTCCCAGACACCGGCCCGACCCTTCTTTCCCCCCCCAGGCTTCCCGCGAGGCACAAAGCGGCTGCCGGACGAGATGGCGCCGGGCAGACAAGGCGGCGGCGGTGCGGCGGAGGGCGGCGCAGACGCTTCCGACCGGCCCGAGTGGGCGGAGCAGCTGCCGTACAAGGTGCTCGGTCCGATCGCGGAGAGCGTGGGCGCCTTCCAGGAGGTCGTCTTGTTTGACAGGCCGACGGGGACGCTGCTGGTGACCGACCTGGTTGTGGGGGTGCCGACCGCGCCGCCAGAAGTGCTGCGCGTGAACGATGACCGCGCGCTGCGCTTCCACTCCCGCGACTCGCCGGCGGAGGAGGCGGTCGCAACTGACGAGGCGCGCGCCATTGGGTGGAAGAAGATCTGCCTCTTCGCGCTCTACTTCCAGGTCCCACCCTCCCCTACCGCACGGTACCCGAACCCACCCTCCCCTCCCCCACGGTACTCGAACCCACCCTCCCCTCCCCCACGGTACCCGAACCCACCCTCCCCTCCCCCACGGTCCCCGAACCCACCCTCCCCTCCCCCACGGTCCCGAACCCACCCTCCCCTCCCCCACGGTCCCGAACCCACCCTCCCCTCCCCCAC